CTAAGGAATAACAATGAATCGGAAGGATATTACTTCGATCTTTCATTGCATCCGTGAAGGATTTATCCGCTTCCTGTGCCTTTCGTCTGTGGGATTCATGTTGGACGTGGCAGCACCACGAATACTGATATTGTGACAAATGAGATCCAAATGGGACGGACACGCGGTACTGTAAGTCTCACCCGTTGATTACTAATTTTTTTCTATGCTTCTACCAACTTCATTTTTCATAAAAATCATTTATACAGTATACCCACTTTGACATGACTGTACGTTCCTTTTGTATTATTTCGATGACAGATACATAAATGTATTAGACAAATGGCTTACACGGCTACCACCTCACATTGAAATTAATACAAATGGGGATGCGCATGCGTTAGAATCATGTCCGACACGAATGACTTATTGTCTAGTTTCGACTGTTCAGACGATTCCTTCTACCTACGTCATTTTATCAAGTCACTCGGTACTTACCTTTCGTGGCTTTTTCAACGGAGACAAATAAATAGGAAGGAAACGATCCTGGCATAACGCTGTACTACTACAACCCTCCAAATTGCAGTTAACGCCACCGCGACAGATTTACCATGAGACCCCGTGGGACTTGTCCCCGTGACTAAGCACTCCCCCGAGACGACGCACGCTCATACATGTGAATTGGGAAAATTTACGAGTGCCCTCGACACAGCAGAATCCCGTCAACGGGATAACAACAACCATCAGCAACCGCGGAGTTCCTCGTTACGCTTTTAATCGTTTCATCAACTTGTTGTTATGCCGCGAATGACCCGCCATCTTGACAGCGATTTGTGAACGCATCTGTTTGCCTCTTTGGCAATTTTCTGAACGACGTACACTGTCCACGAACTCGCATACGAACGAGTGACACTAAAAATTGCACCCAACGAAATTATTTCACGTTCCGTTACGTAACTCAAGCCAGAAGTTGCCTTTTGGACATCTCAAAGATAACTCCAGAATTGAGGTGCTGTCTGGATAATTAGTGGTAGAAAATTCCGTACGTTTTCACATACCTGACATTTTTCTACGTACTCAGGTATTTGCATCTCTCGACACTAGTCAAACTGTTACTGTAAAAGGTGCTGGCTCGTATAATATTTCTTTCTTGCTTTATTCATTCCTTCTTTTTCTCCTGGGAAAATAGTGAGACCGTAAAGCGTGTAATTAGCATTCGAACGGCGTTCGAATTGGAAGGGAGGATGAAGGAGGACCGTAAAAAAAGGTGAGCCATGCCAGGGAGAGATTCTATCTTGTAGAATTATGTCTTTATTAGGTAGAATCTGTCCCCGATGACTGTAACGGTTTCCTGAAACGAGCCCAGTGCACACTGGGTGGACAGGATATATGCAGGTGTCCGTGGAAAAGAAGGGAAGAGCTAAGGAGACTGTCGCATCGCGCTTACTCGAAATTATGCGATCGTGCCGGGCGATTGTCATTTTGTGTGCTTTGGGGTTTGAGTTCAAACCTGCCACAGATCAAGACGATTTTGGAATTGTTTTCTTTTTTGTACCATACGTCACCTCATTGCCGTGTTTCTTCGGTAGCTCGTCGTAAATCTCACATTTTCTTCCCTCAGTTTCTTATTTTTTTTTTTTATGTGTTCCGTTAGTTTTTCATACCTACATCTTGCCTTTTTTCTTAGAATTCGAATTTCGATGTACATTTTTTCCCTAAAGATCTTTCCTTTGTATAATGCACCCATAACGCTGGACCAATCGGAGATGAGATTCTCGAGATGAATTTATCTCATGAAATTTGAGAACTCGCTACATAAATATTTTTTAATATATGAAAAATTTCGTAATATTTTATATGTTTAATAATTATTTTAATTTATTAACAAAATACAAGATTCTACGCTAAAAGTGAACCACGAGCTTTTTCACCAAATTCCTAGTTTATCTGGGTTAACGAATTTTGAACATAAGGCCCATTCTTGGTCCTTGACAGGATACTTGACAAATGACACCCGTAATACTGTTAGTAACCAGTATCCATTCAGTTCCGCTATTGTTCAGTCTCTTCTGTGGGAAAACCCACACTTTTCGTTTCCTTTGTTCTCCGAGTAGGTATGTAGGCGTCGTCTAACAGTTTTCACGCTTTGCGAAATGGACTCTTTAACAGGGTCAAATCTTTACAGTTTTCACTTTCGACCAAACTCATGTTCTCCGTTACGCGTAACCTGTGAGCCGTACTATTGCTTCGGTACTTTTCATGTTATTCGACAAGGCGTTAGAGCTTTTTACGGCGTGTACCTCGACGCCGTGGTCCTTACACTTGAAAAGTCGATAAAGACAGGAAAGCACAGCGTGCCCAGGGGAAAAACGCGCAATAAAGCAGCGGGACGAAACAGAAGGAGAAAAACGACGACACTGACTAAGCAGCCATCTTATCCATGGGAATCCTGTACGTATTTAAATTTTTAGTGACGTATTTATTATATGTATATCCTCAAAGTTCAGTGGGTTGAATAGATTGGTGATATATTGAGGTACACATTATACATATATATATATATATACATATAATTTTTATTTAAATCAATTAACATGCTAATGATAAAGTAATTCTGTTATCCTATTTTTATGACTTTTTAAGTCATGGAAATTTGTATTTATTTTTTTTTTAATAATACATTAAGGTTTACTTGAATAAAATATATTTTGGTATATTCCGTAATAATAATAAATTTCTTAATAAGCATTTACCCATTTTCTATATACATTATACAAGGCAGAAGTATCCGCCATGATGTATTGGGATGGGTGTTCAGTGTTCCATTTTGAAAATTCAATTTCCAAAAGTGGATCCGGTTGAGCGATTGCATTGGAATTGATTTCATTGATCGAATTCAGATCCATTGTATAGAGATTGAACTACTGGTATACCGTGGCAACCCATATGTATGGGTTAAGGCAACCACATGTTATTAAACGTATGATTTTGGTAAAATTCATTAATTCAATTTCGAAAGATACGTCATATACGATTAAACTGATTTCTCTAGAGACTCACAAAAAATGAAATAGTGAACTATGAAATTGTATAATTAAGAATTTTCAAATTTTTGTAATTATAAACTCGTCAATTTTTTATTGTCCTATTAATTTTACGAGTGTCATAATTTTCATTTATTGAGAAAAAAACCATAGAAGAATTTCCTATTATCAACTACCCTTACTTCTAAGAGGACGTCAGACATACAACTCCTTTACTTAATTACATGTGACTGGTCTTATCTAAATTAATATAAGTCATCATTTGTCACATAATACAATCTAACAAGGGGATTATACCATCAGGATGTTTCTTAATAGAGTAACAGATAAGATCACCCCCATAGTTGGTAGATCGCTGGATGATATCACCAAATTTTTCCGTAGGGTCTAAAATGTCTGGCCGGATAAATCACACCGATTACCGATAAGATGATTCCAAATTGGTAAGAAAATGCTGCCGGATGAGGGGTAGGTGGTAAGTACGCGATAAAAAATTCTTAGGGGTGCATCCGAGACCATACCCTTAGTTATAAACTACCTTTCGTTAGTAACTCATATTTTTTGTCTGGACAATGAGAGGAGCAGATATAATAAATAAATTTAAAAAAGTGAGCAGGCACCTATCCGCCCTTATTAACGTTATTCATAATGATTACTTTCGCACCCCTATCGAAATCATCGGCGCCATTAAATTCATGACGCGCCTTAATAACCCAGGACAATGTTTCACGAGCGATTTGTCATCCCGGAATTGAGTCGCGTTGCAAACCAGTCGCATCTGTAGTTGGTTGGTTATGATGATTATATAGGTGTAGCATACGATATGTCGCACAATGCACCCCGCTGAATGCCCTCCTAACCATTAATATATGGCTGAAGGAGTCATTGTTGCGAATTAGGTCCCATTGAACGGGCCTTTGTTGGGATCGACGGGGGGCCCGTTCCTTCGGTAGCAATGGCCGTCACATGCAGTCAGTACTGCCAAGGAGCTTTTAATGAACTTTTTAAGTGGACGCTACTTTATTCGGTCTCTTGGGGTCCGACCCGACCACGTGCTCCCTCTATGTCCAAGGGTCGACATTCTTCCTGTTCTCCTCGACGCTCTTCTCGTAAATGGGTGACTGGAACGAATTTAATTTGACGTAACGAATATCTTTTGGCTTTGGCAGGTGTGAGTGAAGCCTTGTTTCGTTTTTTTTTTCTTAGTCCTTTAAAGCGGTTATTTCACGAGATTGCGTTCGTTGAGATTGATCTCCAGAAGTGATTACGTATGATACCCACGCTGATTTTAATATGGATTAGAATATATTATGCATATTGCATTTTGAATTTTGCGTATCATTATAATGGGAATGTAGCCAGATCCGGGTTGTTTTGCATAAGAAATATACTTAATTATATAGCTTTGATTTGATATTCTTTGTAAAGGTTTTGTTACCATTGTTATTACTCGGCTCTTGCAATTTTCATTCACATATCTTCAATTTGAGCAATGGGATCGTTGCACATTTTGGGTTGGTAACGCAACATAGCGGTGATTCTTTAAACCAGTGTCTGTATTTTTTTCGAAATGGGTAATCTACTGTGGGACATACGCTATGTTGTTTTTCATAAGGTATTTTATCGACGGAGGGCAAGTTGTGACTTTACCGACAGTGTTCAGTTTTTAAAACAGAATCTGTTATACCGACTATATAGTTTATGTATTTCACGTCATATGGCGCTATATAAATATTCCAAGTAGGTATCCTCTATCAAGAGACTCAGTCGAGTTTCGCGCGAACTACAGGCAACCGGCAGTACATCCAAGGCGAAGTATGTACATGCAGGAGTGCTGTGAATTCCTCTCAGAAAAAGTATTGAAATGATGCAGACTAAAAATGCCCGTATGATCTGTGCTGTGCGGTTCTCATATGTAGAATATACTGTGTAAAATGATTTCAATACTTTTTGTTAGGGGAATTAACAGCACTCCTGTACCTGGCATAATTTCTTTATACTTGTTTTTCTGGAGGCTTACAATCATTTCTGCGAGATTGATGCCTTCAATCAACACGCTTTTGACGAGGGAATAACAATACGAATTATATATATTATTATTATATATATACATATATATAATTACAAAAATTATCTTCCACAGTGTGTGTAAGACGTGTAACGTCAAAAACAAATTGATATTAGCACCTATGATTGTGCCGAAGATGTATTCCTCGCCAGATGACACATGGTACTCAAGGTATGGCGTTAAAATCGCATTAAATTTTCCACTTTAGTAAGTTCAAACACTTGTATTGCAAACATGAGATCTTTTCATGGGTCGTTGGTCTTGAAGATCGTCATGATATCTCACAGGTAGTATACACTTTCAGTTACAAGAAACCAGAACGTATTACGTTATGGCTGTAGTCATCATCAGACAACATTATTCTTCAGACGTCCAATGCCTTCTATCTCAGTCTCTAAGCAGTCTCCTCTCTGCAAAAATATAAAGAAAAAGAAAACAGGTATTAACCAAATCAAATAATAAAATTGAAACGTGATTCATTTAATATCTTTCATCAGGCACAATACCTGAAGGTATTCTGGTGGGTTACGCGTGAATCCCACTCCTGCCGGTGTTCCAGTGAGAATCACGTCTCCTGGCAGAAGTGTGAAGAATCTATAAATAACAAAAATATAAAATATACTTAGCTCATGTCTTTTTTTATCACCGATACATTTATCTCTTCTATAACAATACTTTAAGTATTTATACTTACTGCGAGAGATATGCAACGATATCTTGCGGCTTAAATATGAGCTCACTGGTATTTCCATCCTGTTTAAGCTTCCCATTAACCCAGGATTTTACAGAGAGATTGTGAACGTCGCAGACGGCTTCTTTGGTGACAACAACTGGTCCCAAGGGGCAGAAAGTGTCCATTGCTTTTCCAAGGAGAAATTGACCCCCGTTACGCTTTCCCTTTTGCCAATCACGCGCCGATATATCTTGGGCTACTGTATAACCAAATATATAATCTTCAGCCTCGTGATTGTCCAATCCTTTACATTTCTTTCCAATCACAATAGCCAACTCTGCCTCCCAATCGACTTTCTGTATGGAACATAAAATTTTTTTTAAATTAATATTGTTTTCAAGGAAACTACAGCCGTTTACCAAAATAGCGCTGCAGTATTTAGTTCAAAAGTTCGTTAACTGTTTGTGCAACCTGCGTTTTGGCCGAAGAGTCAACTAAAAATAACTGACCGCTAAGTCAAAGACTGTTCTGAACTCACGAATGTATGTGTATATTAACCATGACTTATCTATAGTCAAAGTTGACTCGTGCTTACTTAACTAAACGATCAATTGAAATCAACACATTATTCTATACTTTGCCGAAATATCAATGAAACATTATTTCGCAGTGCACGCATGTCACACGAGTTTATCCACTTATTTTTCGTTATCGGGCATTTATCTTATACTCACGTCGGATATCTTTGGCAAATGTATGTCGTCGTACGGACCAATAATATTACTGGGAAACTTATTGAATATAACAGGATTTTTCGGAGGTTCCAGACCCTGCTCTGTGCAGTGTCCACTGTAATTCAGACCCACGCAGGCTAATTTGTCCATTCGAATAACTGGCGCTAGAAAATTCACATCTGCTTCCGGTATCACACTGCGGCCTTCAGCTACTATTCTGAAAAACAATTATTTCTAATAAAGATAATTGAATCTTCATTTCCATTGACCACGAAAAGACACGCGATGGTTTTTTCTTGTCAGGAAATCCATAAATATTTCTTATATATAAGCATTGAAAAAAATGCAAAAATTTTTTTTTTTCAAAAACAAAAACTATTTTATGTTAACTTGTATCTCATTCTGCTTATTGCGTTAGTATAATCTTTCAAAATGTCATGCAACATTCTTACAAAAGCCATTGGAACAAGATTTAATGGACGTTTGTCATGTGGTGGAAAATACCAGTGATGCATAAATACGTGCATATTGTAATTATTGTTAGGTAAGAAAAAAAATTGTTAAACATGCTGAAATATTTATTTTCATTGTAAATCAAATTTTTATCTAGTCTGGCAAAATGTCTGACAGATTTTCATTCACTCTTGTACGTTCTTTGTCTTACTTCTTTTACGCGTTAGAGGTATACAGTGCAGCGAAACTAATTTGAGGTTGAAGACTATATTAATATGTATGTGGACAGTGTCTGCAATCGATACGTGGCATATGTGCAGTATACAAACGATAAGAAAAATTGTTACGTAACTTTTTAATATATTCCGCTTGCGCTGACTACCTTTATTGAAATAAAGACACGTCTTCTTTACTGTTGGGAATAATAACTGAAAAAGATAACTGACCCATTTTACATGAGGATAAATTTTATTTTATGAATTTTTGAACGATAATAAATAAGAGAGATAAAATCGATCCGATTAAAATTTAACATTCTTGAAATTACGTACTAGAAAAGACAACACGTTATTATGGATTTATGTATTCAAGATTAAATAATTTTTAGTCGTTATCGTGTAATATACTCTATGCTATCTTGGTTATCAATTTATAAAATTAAAGCAAATATGATAATAGAGAATCAACAGTGATACGTGATATCTAAATGTAAGAATTGAATAAAAGTATAAACATTTTTGAAATTTCTATTCAGACAATTTTAAGGATGCATTGATTAAGACATTAATTTTCATTTTAAACATGTATAAATCATTGTTATTTATCACTTCAACCAGCTACTGTTTTACGCTGATCCAGACTCTGGTAGAAAGTAACCATTACTCTCAAATTGAATAGTAATTGACTAAAGTTACAAATTTGAGAAGCTGAATAATCGACAGACATTTTCCACCAGTTAATATTCATAAGTTACGCAAGATTCTGAGTAATTCAAGATGCGGCAGGACGGTGTTTTTCTGTACAGTATGAATTTTTTTTCCTACAAAAAAAAGCAGGTAGTCTCAATAAAGTACTATTGGGGTGGTTGGGGGGCGGGGGGTTGTATTTTTAGTGAGTCGGTTTCAAAAACATCAGGTACCCTCCTTGCAGACATAATAAGGGGAGGTTCGTGTGGTAAGGTCAAAAGAATATCTATTGGTTGACTCCTGCGTGACGTAGAACAGTCTATGATTTTGCGCCTTTGAAAATGCTTAATGACCATCAGGGTAGGTAAGATCAAGCGGAAAGTATAATAGAATTTAAGAGCAGCAGTTTGAGTGGAAAAGGTGAAACAACATCTGTATACTGATAAGAGATTATACATATAGTGATAAAGTGGTAATGTAAACATGAATTTGTAGGGGGACCCATTGCAAAATTGTAAGGGAAGGCCAGTAAAAATAAGTTTTGTAGGTTAACCTTCTATATGGGAAAGTTTTTATCGAAACAATCGTATCTATTTTATATGTATTTTTTTAACGGATGAATTGATATCGTTGAGAATCGAAAGAGTCAACCAATAATGAAAATAGGTTGGAAATGTCTTTGGACTCAAGACACAAACCTCTCTACGGCAGCACGAATGTCGAAATCATCTTTCCTAGGAAAATGAAGATATTTTATAAGGACAAATTTTATTTATACCTATATATGTAGTTTTTTAACGTAAACCGCATGACGATCTCAAGAGAGGCTTCGGAACGGATGATGCGAACGTTATTGGGAAATGTTCATAAATCATAAATATAAATGTTGGCAATAAATAAGGATACTTAGGCCATCATTTTTATGTTAACCTTGTACCGATAAATATTTGTTTGTTTCAATTAATTGCAAGAACTCCACATATTTTGGAAAATTGTATTTTAGGAAAAAATGATAACGTCTCGTTCATTTAATTTTTTTAATTAAACTGGATAAACTAATCATGTTTAATTATTCTTTATGAACTTTACGTGCGATCTGTTGGAACTGTATGGCAGAGGGATATGGCAAATAACTGTGAATCATAGCTGTCAACTTTCCCTGTTATTTGCAATTTGGGCGATCAAAGTGTCAAGATACGAAGTATCGAACGACACGACGTTGTAATTTAAGCAAAATTATTTTTAGTTTCAAATTCCAATTTTTTTGTAATTTATGGTAGATTACAGTTATCGGAGATGTGATTACCTTTTAGCCTTTTTCAAGAGATCGTCTCCACCTTCTAGGAATTTTCTCAAATTATTTGGAATTTGAGAGTCGATCGCCGATATTGCAATAATATCTCCACCCTGTTTGAGCTGCACTCCCAAATGCTGAGGACCGCCGCCATTTTTGTTTACGAACTGGACGAATCTGTAAATACGAAATATTGTCATTAATAATAGAATACTATTTTTTCGATTTTCTCTTTTAATACACGAATCCTCCCCGAAATACGCATTTTCCAAAATATTTTTGAGTGCAACTCGACGCGCATTTTTATCAAATATTTTAGTTGCAAGCATTGAATTATTGTAAAACACAATTCCACGTAATTAGTTTTGTTGGTGAACTACATTTTATTTCCTTTAGCTGTATGAAAAAAGTAATAGTAACTGCTCAGTAGCTCATAGCAAACTTCTTACGTTATAAAAAAATGGCACATAACGATAAGACCGATATGTAACTGGTCTGATATCAATATTTGATTTATCAGCAGCTGTAATAAATTTATGTAATAAATTCATAATACGTATCACACTGAAAATTTCTGACGAATAAATGTCACCTAAAACTAATTACACTAATATAAATATTAATAACGTAAAAACGTTCAAATTTTCAATTATCAAATTTAAAAAGCTACTAGTAGTCCTCGTTACCTGCACTTTCTGCACTTTTAAAAAAGTGCAAATTCTTATTGGATGATATTTTTAAGTAACCAATGAGAACTTGCCCTTTTTAAAAATTTCAGAAAGTGTAGGTAACAAATCTAATATTATGCAAAAAAAAATAAGAAGCATAAACCTAGATAGGATGCAGAAATCCAATGAGCGGCCCCACACGTTTAAAATCGTAACAGTTGGTAGTCAACACGTATCTCTTCTAGGTTTAAGTCTCTTTTCACCACAGACACGATAACAGATTAACTCAGAAAAGTCACGAGTCACGATCCTACAAATATCATTTGGATCACGTAATTCCGTTGTGAATAATACAGGTAACGTAGTTAACCTATGACAACTGCTAATTCCAATTGATTAATCTTCTCTTGACACGTCTACTTTCCTACGGACTGAATTATTAAACGTAATGAGAACGTAGTATTTTTTAAATCGTATAATTATTTTTAATGGTCGTACGAACTGAAGGTATAACAAACTTTTTTTTCTACATATATCAAAAAAAAGTTTAACGTTACTAATCTAGTATCTCGGTATATACGCCCATTGCGCAATACTGCCGGCTCGGAGCGACTTCGACTTACCGCATATCGAGCGTGTGGCTGCGTGAAAAATGCCTAACAGCAATCCAGGCCAATTGCGTCGCTGACCCATTACATGAAGTCTTATCACTAAGAGAACCTCTTGAGATTAGGATAGCTTTAGTTAAGAGTCGCAACTTTCCGCGAAGTGGCATTTTCACTGACCAGTGATGTTTCAATAGGAATTTACGCAATGCTGGGCTCTAGTAAAAAGCGTGTATATTACGTTAGGCCGGAAACGCTCGCCGGGAAAGACGAGCACGAACTGAAGCCGTAACGACGTTCTAGCCTTTCGCTAGAATTGGAAGGGGTACCTCAAGGTACCCGATAAAGATGTGGACGATTTTTGATCAATTCATTTGATAAAGGCATAGTTCATGATCCTTTTGAGGATGTTTGCGTGGATGATTAGTTAAAGATTTTGAAATTCTTTCTAAAACGATTAAACATTTGTATGGATTGTATTAGTAGGTGATATTTCTAATGCTACGTGATTGATTAGTTTGTTAAAATTTATCCTCATTGTTGCGTTTCTGTCTGATTTAATTTATTGTGGTAAATACTTATGATTAGATCAACAATTGAGATTGAAAGAATCGTTCAGAAAAATTATGAAAATGTCCTTAGATATAAGTTTAATTGATATTGATTATTGATTGTCATACATATTAGTTATTGTTACATTTGATTTATAAATGACAGATATTATTTTATAAAATACATTATATATTGAGGCGTTACTGACACAGTTAATTATTATATAATATAATATTTACTTAATTATGTGATTCGTCGAAAAATGTTGGCCTTGATATTCGTAGTATTGATGATAAAATTACATACGAAAACTCATCGTTTTATTATATCAAGTTCAGAAAGAGCCGTATTGGATAAATTATTTCGGCGCGCGATTTTCTCAGTATATTTAATTATGACTATGTAAACTATAGGAAGACAATAATAAAATCGTGTTTTACGCAACCGGAATTACAAATGTGATTTCGTTAAGGCGGTATATTTAAAGCATTGTATACAATTTTTTTACAATCTAAGTTTGTGTAATTCTCCATTTAGGATTCTGAGCACCATGTACTTTAATACAAAATATTTTACACAACATGTGGCATTATAACATAATGATATTATATTTTGACTACAGAAGAAGAAAAATCTAAATTTCAAACTCCATAGGAATTTCTTATTTTCATTTTTAATTAAATATGGCGGCTATCACGTGTTGAGGTTTATTTACCAGAGACGTACTAGGCGTCAGCACTGTTGAATGTCTTTTCCATGCCGGCGTCGGACGAAATCAGACACTGTTAGAAATGGCTGCACGTTCGATTTCGAAGAAACGAAAGGTTAGTTGTTTTCCTTATTATATTCTGTGGTCTGCTATAATTATAATTCCACTGCTCTTTCACACCGAGTATTATATCACATTTATTATACAAATTTTTCAAAAATTCATGTTGGGTTTGTAGACGGCATGGCTACTAGTCGGCCATAATCCCTTCTTAATCATGTATTTATTGTATATACGCATACATTTTATTTCTTCTCTTTCAATTCATGTTATGTAATAAATGTTGTGGCGCGGATTATAATTTTGGATTTTTATAATTCTCAAATTTTTAATAGAAGGCACATGTCAGAATGTTTATTATTGAATTAGTGTCACTATCTAGTATGTGCTGGCGTCGTTTTGATATATTGAACGCCGTGCAGATATAGAAGACAACTTATCAATCTTTACTATTATATTTGATGCATGATTTGTTTATAGTTTGTAGGAGATGGTATCTTCAAAGCTGAGCTCAATGAGTTCCTTACTCGAGAGCTTGCTGAAGATGGCTATTCGGGTGTTGAAGTGCGAGTAACACCTACTCGCACAGAAATCATTCTGATGGCAACGCATACTCAGAGTGTCCTAGGAGAGAAGGGACGTAGAATTAGGGAATTGACATCCGTTGTACAGAAAAGGTTTAACTTCAAGGAACACACTGTAGAATTGTATGCAGAAAAGGTTGCGATGCGAGGTTTGTGTGCCATTGCGCAAGCTGAGTCCCTGCGGTACAAGCTGATTGGAGGTCTGGCTGTTCGAAGGTATGTACATTATTTTCAAGAAATACTTCTCTTATTTTTCTTAGTATGTAAATTTTGTCGTAATCATTTGATCTTTATTCTGTTTTCTCAGGGCTTGCTATGGTGTTCTCCGTTTCATAATGGAATCTGGAGCCAAAGGTTGCGAAGTAGTTGTTAGTGGAAAATTGCGTGGTCAGCGTGCAAAATCCATGAAGTTCGTCGACGGTCTAATGATCCATTCTGGTGAACCCATTAATGACTATGTAGACACTGCTACTCGACACGTTCTTCTTAGGCAGGGTGAGTTTCCACATAACAACTCAATAACGAACTATTGATATACCAATTTTATGTAACTACAATATCTGTTACCAATTCTAATTTCAGGTGTCTTGGGAATCAAAGTAAAGATCATGTTGCCATGGGATGAGACGGGCAAAACAGGACCAAGAAGACCACTGCCAGACAATGTTTCAGTGGCTGAACCAAAGGACGAAGCTCTTCCGTTACATCCAACTTCGGACGTTAAAGTTTCAAAGCCAGACGCTATTCCGCCAGCTCCAATTGCTGTCTAATCGGATGTCTTTTTGCAATAAAGTCTGAAAATCTGATACTGATTTTCTGTGGTATTTTTTTGAATCCACTAATATTGGCACTATTTTATTTGCATATCCCCTTATACACTGAATTACAAACATAATCGATTAAAACAAAGGTATGACATTAAAGAATATGACTAAAGATAATTTTGCATGAATGTATTGTCGACGAAATTGAATACAGGTTTATTTAGGGTTTGGGAGCTTTTCTAGTAATCCAAAATTCTTCTCTTTGATGATAAGGAGTGTAAGGATCGTCCACATAATATTTCGGTCTTTTCCAAAAGTTTGTAACCATCTTATCAAGTAAATAGGATTGAGTAGAATTTGTAAAGACATGTTGACGCAAGCGACGTTTTTGGTTGGAACTTTTTTTCCAAAGTCTTTTATGTCGTCCTGCCTTCGTACGGATCCATACGCCCCTAAAAATGATTGAAAGTAATTATTGTGTGAACCTATTTCAATTACTTGAAGAATTTGTCAAATAACAAACATACCAGTGTAACCTAAAAAATCTTTTAAGGACAGTCTTTACAGATCTTCGCTTTCCTTTTTTCAAGGAGAATTTTGTAACTGTCCTTACCGTTGGTTGCATTTGCTGCAACACAACCGGCAGAATTCTGCATGTTAGTGGTGGGCTAAAAAAATATTTATACAGAATAACATACATAAATATTTATATAATTTGAAACAATTACATAAATATCACTCGTTTCAAAAAATCTATCTGTACCTTAGTAAAGTTTTATTTTGAGCATTTCCAATGGTGTTGGATTGAGCATGTATCTGAGAAGAAAATATACTCAAGCATCGAAGTTGCGCTAAATTATTCACGTTAATTGGTGTCAGTGCTTTGGAACTCGCTCCTAGTGTACGGATACCCGCCTCTGAAAAGAATATCAATTATTTTAAACATATAAATTTGGATACAGTATGACTGTAATATTGTTCACATAAACACAGATTGCAAACTAAAAAGAAGAAAAGTATTAACAAATAATATATCGAAAAATATACGAGACACTGAATGCAAGTTGCTAAAGAAAAACAAGTGAAAGAAATTATTCAATTTGCAACGAAGTTTTAAAAAAAAGCGCTTGTGTATACGGTCCGAATCCGATTCCTTTTGACAGAAGGAGAAAATGGTTGTTTGGTTTCATAAAACCTAACCTCAAATACATTAATTATCGTTAATACGTGGACGAATCGGAACGTGAATTTGTCATCTCGATGAGCAATAATGAAACTTACACGTTTCTTTTAATATTAATATAAAAATTAACTAAGATTTTCGCTAAGTTAAGTAATTATTCACCTCTAAAAGTTGAGCCAATAATACGCAACATTCTTCTTTTCACTGAGTTCCGCCGGTAACCAGCTGTTTTGTGCCGTCGTTCCCTTTTTTCCTTGGCTGCCTGACCGGCCACCCGAAAGATGTTCCGAATTGGATTAAAATTTCCGTGCAACGGTCTAAATCGGGTATGTAAAATAATTATTTGTGGTATTTATCAACTTAGTGCATTTCTACTGAGAGTGCAGTATACGTTTTCTTTTTCAAACACGGCCAAGAAATGGTTAACAACCTACTTCACGACACAGTGCCATTCATCGCTTTCGTAGAAACTTTGCTATTTATTTTCGAGGTTTACAACATTCCTTGAGTGTTTGATGCGAATAAAACTAAGGATTTATTTTTACAAACATTCGTTACATGTTTGATGACAATTTCGTGAACTGTCAGTGAATAATCTTGCCAATTCTAGCAAGGTTGCATCTCATGTGACAAGATGGCTTATAATTAGGGGCTTACATAATTCCACGAGGAATGATTGATACTTTTGGTATTTCAGGTCAAAAAACACGGTTATTCAAGACTTTATCTAACGGCCAGGTACTATGAAACGCGTGCCCGTGTTAAATGTGAACCAGAAGGCAGGTGAGCCAAAAATTTGTCAATATTTATATCTATCGAGCATCGGTATCTGTCAAGTTTTTGTACAACTATTTTGAAAATGTTCATAGTTTTGTGTGTACTCTTTTCTACTATTTTTTACTAAGACTAGTATTGTCATATTCTTTGATATATAATTTATATTTGATTGATTGTTATTGATCCTAATATGAAGATCATAGAAATAAAGTATACCGCAAAGGTCATTCATGAAATTGTTAACCAGTAATTACATCGTCGTTTTATAAGAATGATTTTATTGATTTTGATATTGTTTAGTTCAACAAGACAAGTTCTTATTAACATATAATAAAATTAGTAATTTTTCTTTTTATACATAAACATTAAAGATGTTTTTTTAGGCTTTGCAAAGATGTCAGACTTATGTCCAGATTTTCTGGACCTAAGTATTCGACCCAATCGCCGAAAAGGTATTTCATATGCAAATTGAAGTGGTGGTGGATTTTATTAAAGGAATGCAATTCATATTATTGTTATTAACATGTTTAATATATGTATGAAATTCATGAATGCATGTTTGTTACTTGATAATTTGCTGTAAATCCTTGAACGACTTGAATATCGCAAACTTTAGTCTAGAAGTTGAAACTCTGAAGTTTCATTTTTATTATACAAAATATGGAAATAGTCTAAATTGTATTTAATAACATGCTATTTCTACATAATTTGATGTTTCTATCATTCAGTGCTAACTTACTAGTACATAGAAATGAAAATATCTTTAATTTTATTTTTATTGCATTCCTCTGCAGTGTAATTATAGTAAATAGATGCATGTTTGCTGTTAAAATAATTGTACACAACTATATATATATATATATATATATCTTCTTATTGCTACATTGAAATTAAAGTGAGAAGAATCGAGGCTCTGGCAGTTTGATAACTTTGGGTGCTGTAACAATAAGCGCCATAGGTGTCTTAACATTTGCTAAAAAGAACCCAGAGTTCCGAGCAACCTTGGAAGAATGGATTCCTGGTACAGATCACGCTATTCAAATCATCTTCCAAGAAGACTCCACCTATTTTGACTTCATTCGCAACTTTTTTGAAACACTAAAGCAGACGTAAGTACATAGTTTGTAGTAAGTACAAATTATATTATTTCCACGTAATTAATTATATTACATTATTGCCTGTTTTAGGATACTAGACCTCTTCTTCGGACAACCACCATCCAAAGAAGGTCAGATTATGAAGAAAATAGACTGCACGAAAGTTATCGATGATTACATACGTGAGCCCTGACCCTTCCTCTTTACCTTTAATGTCTAAACATCCTTCAATCCGAATCCAAACCTTGCTAATAGTTAGTTTCTAGATTTAAAAACAAAAGTGATAGTTTCTAGATAGTAGATAAACAAGCACGACCTTATTTCTCATTCAAGGGATCACATATAATAGATTTGGCCTCAGCTAGTTGCTTAATACTTTATATACTTAATAATTATCATCGTCATTAACAATACCTACTAATCAATTTATAACAACCACTCGTGTGTGCTGTAGCGCCAAAACCAGCTTTTGAACCGTTGGTTGATAAAAAGGAACCACCCATCAACGAACCATACTCAGAGATCCGGTTGAGCAAGGAAAAAGGAGAAGCAATCCAAGTCGGTACGTATGGGCGGCTTATATTTAATAGAGCAATCTGAAAAAAAGTATTTTTTTGACGGCAATTTTTTCCATGAAAAAAATATTAGGTGATCCAATCAGGATAAATTGTGAATTTTCTTTTCCGTGTGTTAATCAGTCGCCGAAAAGCCACTTCCTCCACCGAAAGATGTACCTGCTGAGTTGATGCCTGCGAATTTGGTTGAACTCGAGGCATTTTGTGGTCAGGCTGCATCCAAAGCAATAGCAGCGTACCATAAGGCTATCTGTGCTATTCAAGATTACAATAAAGACGTGATAAAGGTGGTGGAGAGTGCTGGAGGCACGATAGGCGGTTCTATCCACGATAGGTTTGTAATTAAGCACCTTGTAGAGTAGTAAGGAACAGTTTACAATTAATTTCTGTATAATTAGTATTATTATTCTCTTTCAGATTGAAGGAAGCCACGGAGAAAAGGAAGGAGGCTCTAAAGACGGCAGAGTTATATGCTGGGGAGGCGGTAGATTCTTTGAGACGTATGTACAATCTCATCGACGATCCCAAGTTCGACGCTCCACCCGTTATGAAAACGGTTGCTAGAAGAAACGTGAAAAAGATTCTCGACGATGTCGATGAATCCAAGAGGAAGTACGAGGAAGAAGTTCAGTCGTCAAGGATCACCGAGAAGTTCTGGAAGCAAGTGGAAAAAGCACGGCAGAACTTTAACGAGGAGTTGCAGATTCTTTTCCCAGATATCAACATCCATGAAAAAAAGCTTTCGGTTAACGAAGATTCATTTGATCTCTTCGTCCTTCACATGTATAACAAGATCAACAATTTACAAAAGGACCTAGAGAGACTAGAGGTACGTAATAACACTTTATCCAACTTTTTTTTTGACCTGACTGCACACACCAGATAAAAAATGACCTTTGTTTTTGTTCCTTTGTTTCAGACGATACAAGAAACTAAGCTCAAGAATGCACTGAAGGCATCAGGTGATGACTCTAATCAAGCGAAGATTGAGGCTCTCATCTGTGCCGAGGTGAACAAAGAAAAGCGTTACCTACGAGAAGAATTCGAGAAAAAGGTAAGAACCGCCCAGAATCCATATTTCTTCAGATCACAGAGAACCGTGGAGTAAACCATCACTTTCTCAAGTAGTAGGTCACAATGTGAGTCAGAATTACAAGCATTTCTTTCATCCCTTCTCGACGGTACATTAGCTCTGTACGGTTTACCATGCTTTAGGCTATTTTGATGTCACACAGTCGCACGAAAGAAAACGAACGACACGTCACGGCATCTTTGCATCGCAGTTTTTCTCGTCAGAATCGTACGACACTGCACAAAGTCCTTTCTGGATATGGAATTAAATGCCACGAGCAGTGCTCTTCAGACTAGTGAAGTCTTTACTCAGGGGAAACAAAGAACATTTCGAATTAGCGTCCCCTTTCAGGAACCACATTTCCCTTGCCATCCCACTAGTAGACGGCTGGCTTAGTAATTCCACGAACTTCCGTTCAACAACCCCTGACTCTGGCGTCAACTCCTTCGCACACAATCTTGCCATCTTGTATCGTCAACATCGTCCTATCGTCGTCCGGATACCCAAGACGGTTAATTCAAATTTAATGAAAATAGCACGGATATGCTTGATAAATAATTAATGACGTAAAGTCAAAATACCCAACGAAACACTTCTTACAAGATGCTAATTATAATCATACTAGTAATCGTACAAACAGCACCACTTCCTTCTGAAGCAATACTATTAAAATTTTGCAATTTTCATAAACATCAGCGAAACGTTACAATATCATAAATATCAATTCCAATGATAAGATAGTCTAATCAAAACTCCAACCGTACTACTTATTACCTTCACTAATAGCAAAATTCTTAAACCCGAGTGCTCTTTCATTTTAAGTGAAAGGATATATTTTCATTCCCTTTTATATGCTTTTGCCTTGCTTATGCCTTTTTTTTGTTACTTTCGTTAACAACGCGGTCACAGTTAATCCGTTTACCAGTCGGCATATCCAGTAGGCAGTAGCTACGAACCCAAAGCCTACAAATGTTCAGGAACAAAATCACGGATCTCCGAAAAGCTTCGTGACGGCACCGGAATAATATGTGAGCTTGCACCGTGTGTCGCTTTATACTTATACACAACATATCATCCACATTCAAATTCAAATCATACACGTGTAAGCGTAACTTTGTGAGCTTTCCAGAGTTTCCCAGTACGCCGCTACAAAATCTTCTCGACCTACACGTACTTTTTCGACGTTTGCGAGTTTTTCCACATACGGATAGATCCCATCTATACATACCATACTCGAAAGAACACACAGGCATTATGTATGCCTATACACGCGGTGCGGTATCCCATATTCTCTTTTTAGTATAGAAATGCTTCTCTTCCCTCCCTACTTTTCCATTCCGACCTATCCCCGTGAGCTTTTTATCTATTTCCATTTGGCCCACCGCCAATATTTCCGTAGCGGGAGGCAATATTATCTCTTTAGACTAGCCTGCGGTATTACCCATGTGTGGCTGCTTCCCTATAATATCGACTGGAGATGCGAAGGGACCGCCGTCCGCCAAATCTATGACTCTCGTTTCCTTATTGCGCCGTTACGACCGCAGTGGTAGGGCAAGAATTAGAATCTCGTAACGTCTCCCTCTCTTCCCTCCGACGGCAATGACGAGACCTACTTTACCTCTGGGCAGGTCTGCTTGCTGTGGTGTTTACCGGAGTTTGCTGGTCTGATAAAATTCTTAATTACAAACGAAACCGTTCGACTGTGAAATATCAACGTGATCACTTGCACTTATGTGCGCTGAATATCGCTGTTGACAAAGGATACGTTTATATACGTTTGAGGCAATTATTCGTATATTCGAATGGTCGTGCGATGGTTGCAGGATACGAATGACTGCTCTGGATTCTTCATTGAATATATTTATTAGGCAAAGATGTCACATTCGATATTTCATCAAGAGACTCAAGTAATGACCGTAACGGATAATTATCATGTGTTTAAAGAAAATTATTTGCTAAACTCAGATCACGTGTTACGGTCAATAAAATTTTACAGTTCCGTTACGTCATATAAACGTATCGAATTTTAGGTTTACGAATATAGTCAATATTTTAGTCGGAATCTCATAAAAAGAAATGTCATGCGTGTCTGAAATTTGAAAAACAGGTAGGTTGATAGTAAAGAGTTAAAAAAAAAAGAAATACTCGTTTGGTAATAATTTGACAAAACTCTTAATCGCTGTCGCTACATTTACTGTAATTGGACCATGCTTTATTGTGCTTCTGACAGTAAAATTTTCTCGTGCAAATCGCATATATATCGTGGCAACGAAACATCCTCCGCGCTTGCGAATCTTTATATGCAAATACACCTCGTGAATTTGCTCTGTGACTCTCAGTTGTATTTTCGCGTAGTCAGTATTTGCTGTGCTTTCAAATGTCTGATTATCTTTGGTTCATAAAGCCTTTCTTGTTTGTACAAAACTTTGACACTTTCAAATCGAACAACACTTGTACGTAGCTTTTCACGAGAAATCATTTTGAATCTGTGACTCTTTATCTTTGTATAGAAATTCAACGCGATTTAATGTTTTCTCCAATTTTCAGACTCGAATAGTATACCTGCAAAAAATTCTTTCTTACCAAGCGCCCTAGGGGCTACTGAAAATTACTAGGTACCTAAACAAACATGCCTGGGAACTTTGATTAATTAATTCTACGTTTTATACTTACGTAAACTCGTGTTACAAAGTAGTTCGTAATACGCTTCTGTTATAGACAAATAAATACGAACGCGTATCCAGTACGTAACGATTTTGTATCAGCTTCATTTATTCTTGGATAAATTTTATTAGAGCTGCCGGCAGGTGTCAGCATTGTAGTTAAACGAACGAGAAATGGATTTTATGCCGGTAAGGGAGGGGTTGTCAGGAGGAATTGTCAGGAATAAAATTCGCATTCAATTTCAAGCAATTAACGATGAAGTATGGAATCGCAGTTATCGGAATATTGGATTTTTTAATCGCCTGTACCAGACGTACGTACTTATATGTCCAAGGGGGGAGGGACAAATAATGAGAAATAGAGAGAAAGAGAGAAATAGAGTGAGACTATCACACATCATTCCCACCACACAATGGCTGACGTCAGTGTTGGAAGAATATTATTTGTGACGTCAGCCTGTATAAACCAGCAGTCGTATGCGTTAGGCGCATTTGAAACTTGTCGTAAATCAGGGTCACATTAGCGACAGATGGAATCGAACCATAGCCATTGCAGTTTTACATCTACCTATACCTAGACGTATCCCCTGTATACGGTATACCGTATTACAGACAATTCGTCTTCGTCCTCTCGCGATGCTCACCGATCCTTCGGAACGTGTCTAATTAATCGAATGCACCAGGGACGCCGAACCTCTTCGACTGAGGTTAGGTCGAGCATCCTAACTTTAACCAGTATCATCTGTATCCAGAATAATACTGTCCCTTGGAGTTTCGGGCCGTACCGATAAATACACTAGAGCACTGGGGTAATAGCTACCGGTGGATGTAACGTAGGCTGAACCCTTTTAGTGCCGGCGGGCCGATATATCGGCCCTCGGTACTTGTGCGAAAAATGCCAAAGCTCGATTTCACATGTGCGCTTCTGCGAATAGCTTTATAAAGAAGAAAATTCTCGATTTGCTGGATTAAAATTTTTAATATTTATTCCTTTCATACGAAACGGCAATTTTATCCTCGTAAACAGAGACGATCACGCATAGGAGATAACGACTAATGGCCAGTTTCTTCGTCTTCGGTTAAAATTTAATCTGCGAATAAATCTTCACCTAACCAATCATTTTGATGCTCCAGGCGTTTATATGCATGTTAAATTTTAACCGAAGGTCAAGAAACTGGCCATAAGTTGGAGCAAAGGACACTCAGAGATATGATAATCCGCACGTAAACAAACGAGGCCGATAGATCGGCCCGGGGCATTCTTCACGTGTACTTCGTAGATGGGCCTGGCACTGGAAGGACGAATCATCTCCATTTAGCAACCGAGGGCTAAGAGCCCTTTCTTAAGAAGAAAGGATTGTGCTCGTATACATTTTTCATTAATCATGATAAAGCTACTTTTCGTATCCTTACGTTGCTTATCAACTCATTCGCGAGGGTTTGTCGCTTTGTATGTTTTCGTGGCTACCAACTTTGTGAATATTCATTCCTAGCGGGGAGAATTCCCTACGTAAATACGCATAGCTACTAGTTGGACTATACTTGGGCCTAGACTTGGTTGGCTCACTTGCTTGCCTTCTGGACACTTCGCCACGTGTACAGTCACCACAGTGAAAATTCACGTGGGCTCGTTACGAGTATCATCCCTATTTCTTACCCGCAGTGCACCACTTCCTTTCGGTCGTTAGTTCACGGGAGAGGAGTTCGTCGTAGCCGAGATTATTTTCGGCCAGGATTCGAGTCTCGCGGTGTGGATGAAAAAGATGAGAAATTGATCGCTAGGTCTGGGAGAGGAATTTACAAATATGTGGGAGAGAATTAAAGGGTGGTTTATGATTTTCTATCATTTTTATAGAATAAATCATGAGTCTGGTTCGATTGCATCCTAGACTGGAAGTTTAGAGCCGCGTTTTAAATACTACTCATGTAATTACTACGTCATTCGGCGACACCCTCTTTATAAATAGACGAGACTCCGGCTACGAATAAGTCATCAGTCGTTAGAACGTAGTTTATGGTGATTCTATATTACATTCGCAGTAACACTCTCTTTTGGAATTCGTGACCTCCTTTTTTTTACCATTTTGGCTCCTAGGTGGTGGCTGTAACGGAAATACAAATTCGTAGACTGGTGTTCGCATTTCTTTATGGTTGTTGAAACCACATTTTAAAGGTGGTTAAAGATATTTTGGACTTGGGTTTCTGATGAAGGTTTTGGATATCGAAAATAACTTGAATAATTTTAATTATTGTTCTGTAATAGGAGTTTTTTGATCGAGTAGCAAGGTCACGCCGTGAAGTTTAATATTTTCAAAAATAATATATCCCAGTCAGGGTGATCGGCGAGTCAATTGTGGGTGAGCTTTTCAATTGCAAAATTCAGGAAAATACAAAAATATGAGTGACTTCGCTGAAGAGGCAAACTGCAGAATGAAGGGATGCGAATGAGGGAGGCTTTGAAGGCAATTAAACGAAATTTTGAGAGCAACAATACGTACGTATCGGACATTCTGCGGCTTTTAATTAATCCAATCTACGAACGTGACGCGGTTACCCGAAATGCCGTCCCTACACGTTCCCCGTGTAACTTTTGTACTTTAATCGCGAAACAGATTATAGGCCGTTGGTCCCACGGCTTGCTAATTGGTTTGATAAAAAGGCATGAATAGCAAAATGATAAGACCTCGAATGATAAAGATGATCTTTCTAATTCTTTCCGAAATCGTAAAGTTTCTACGCGCTATTTCGTACATTCGAAAAAGTCATATAATCAATTTTCATCGTACCCACGTGTCTTTCCCTTTAGGCCATTCGGGATTTGACCTTAATCGTTGAGTCCCGGTTACCCACGCGGTCGTGTAAGGTTTCGATATCTACATACCCGACAAAGTGCTGGCACGTTCGTCCTGTGTTCTTGATCCTAAAGCGGGTTGTCAGGTCCGCAGGGCGTTAATTATTGACACGGGACTTCCGTACACAGTGGCCAGGTGTGGCGACCTCCATAGGTCGAGCCGACGTACTGGACTAGGTGGAACGTTGTTAGGCGTCCTGCACACAAAATACATCAGCGGCCGGTCCTACACAGGAGTGCGAGTGAATGCCAGAGGCCATAGGAGGGACTGCCTGTCATAGTCTGAGGCTTTTGCTAAAGAGGAACTGAGACAGATAGAGCGACGAAGGGGAAGAGAAAGAGAGAGAGAGAACAGTTGATCAGAAGACGAGGGAGAGCAAGAGAGAGCGAGATACCTTTGGCTTTGGGTCACTTCCCAATGAGGGCAACCTCGATCGTGCTTTAAGTGCGGATAATTAATCAAAGTTTCATTAGAGTAATGTTCCTGCATGAACTTAACCGAGCACTTTCTCTTAAATTGGGCGGCGGGCCGTTAACCAAAATTAGCCATAACCGATCCAGCCCTTCTTCATTATTGCTATTCAATACCGATACTCGGGCAACCTGGACACTTTCAATACTGCACCAGCATCGCTATTTCCAAACGGGCCGGTATAGCTTTTCCCGCATTAGATTGTCGCAGCCGATATCAAACGTTCGCTCGTTGCTTCTGTGCACTGGGATTCCTTCTGGAGGAACCAATACATCGATTTACGAGCACTGTGGGCCAACCGTGTCCCGGGTGACTTTATTTATGGATGCGATTACCCTTTCGTACATATGTGACCGTTGGGCTGAAAAAAAAAGTTGTCAGGACCTTCCTGAGAGTTTTCCCGCTTAAGGATTTCCCCGGATCTGGCTGATTATTTTCATTAAGTGTCTTACATCCTGCTCCTTAATTGACGTTTTTGGGTTTTTGCTTCGATTTTAGTTGCTGGAAGAGAAGAAGCGCTTTGACGATGAGATGCGAAAGCAGCTGAAGCTCCAGGCGCAGATTCACGCTGATCATCTGCGGGAGGCTCTGCACCAGAAGGAACTCGAGACCCAGAGGGCGGTCGGTCGTGCTCTGAGCGAACAGGCCGAGAATGAATCCACTGCGTATAAGATGAAGCTGGCTGCTGTAGTTGGCAGGATGCAGGGATTGGACCACGCGCTTAAGGGTGAGAACATTTTTTTTTCTCTCTTTTTTTTTCTTCCTTAATATAATCGACCCTCGCTTTAGCGTCCCCTCCGAAATCATTCTGCCAGACGCGCGAGGGTCGCTGATCCTGTTTTTGTCTTCTCGACAAGGAACCATAACCTCAAAGTTGGACAACTTGACGGATTTGCTTCGTTATCCCATGTGAAAGGGATTGAATTGGAGAAAGTATATTTCGGCTCCTGGAATCGGGAGATAAACTCGGGTCACGCGCTGTGCTTAAGCGTACATGGAATTCCCAAAGTGGGACGACTTCCGGCCGATCGCACCATTGGGAGCTATTAGTCCAGAAATTCCCTCAAGATGCTGAAAAAAAAAAAGAGCGATGATAAAACGAAAACGATTTTACCTCGTTTATCGGTACCTGTGCGAGAATTCGAGAGAATCTCGAGACAGCCGGCTATTTTCAATTTATCACTGAGCTCTGGACCAAGGAACATATTTTAGAGTGCAGGAGGATCCCGTTGGATGTGTGCACGATGCTTTAGCGATCGGGCGCTTAATTACCGGAAGCGTAAAAGGCACGTCTGGAAGGACGAGGGAAGACGCTCCGTGTTATCCAGGAGAAGATGTCGAGGTCGCGGTCGTTGTTTTGGCTCGTTATTTCAAGGCGGATCCAGGACAATCCTGGCAATTGTTTCAAGGATAAGGATGTTCACGGAGCGTGTTTCTCGCCTATCCTCTTCATCGCAGTGCCATGCATTGGCGCTACTACACTTACCCGGAGCATTTAATTACCCCGCTGAGACAAGCTTTCAAGGTTAAAAGCTTATGGCGCCACAGAAAAGTGCTTTCATTCCACCCTCCTTCGCAGACAGACACAATCACCTCTCTCGGGACCGTTTCATCCCCTACGAGAACCCACCGGAATGCCTCAGCTTAATCTGGTATTACTCCGAGAGAGATAATTCGCCGTGATTCCTTGAACGGCTTGGTAATCAGACCCAGGCTCGGTGGCTACGAGGTTGAAAAACATTAAACGTCGATTAGCCACGGATGCGACCCAAACTACTCCCTCCCTCTCAGTCCCTCTTAATCATCACGGAACATCATCAAAGGGCAAAAATAATTCATTACAGGAAAGCATCATTCAATTAGAACCTGGCGGGTGTATAACGGTGGCTTTACGTCTGGTCATTAAACACCACATTGACCCTTCATAAATTGAAATCGGTCTAAGCTTTATCGGTACCCCCCTATCCACCAGGGACAATCCTATCTCTTCTGTATGAAGTTCTTTAATCTTTCGTTCAACTACTTGAAGGACCTTAGGACCATCAGTATAATTTGTCACTCCCTTCAGACCCTTTGCGCACCCGATGGCGCATCTATCGTTTTCACAGTCGTTCAATTAATTCGAAAGTTTCGGTAAACGACTCGGCTTACATTTACCTCTGGGCTGGATGATACGGCTAGTGGCAATAGTGCCGGTGACCTCGTGGCAGAGGTGGAACGAGTCCCGGGTGTACCGCTGGCTAATAAAGCACGACTGTGGAAATCGCTCTGAGACGGAACTGTGTATACGAGCTTTTGCTGCTCCCCGTGTTAACAACTCGAGCAACTTTGTAAATTAGCGCCAGCTATGCGTACACTCTGCGACAAAAACATTGGCAGTGAATTAGTAGCAATAATAGGTCTGCTGGTACTCGGCTGTTTTACGACCTGTGCCCAGAGTCTCTCGCGGAAGAGCTTCAGGGACGCGTCATTCCATCCCTTATGTATACTGTTTATCTTGGTAGCTTAGCCTATCGCTCATTCAGGTGGTACGGTCGGAAGGACTGGGACACTGAATGGGGTTGCGCTTTCACTGAGCTTCATGCAACCGGAAATAATGGATGCAGCATCTGTTGCAATTATAACTTTCAAGCATTTATCTCAGATGACGTGTATTATTACGGCACTACCAAAAGCTGGTATATAACGAACGAGCAATCTTTTTCAATGCTCCCCGCAGGGAGGATCAAATTAATCGCCAACCTACTCAATCTTCCTCTCGAATGAAACTATCTGTTTACATCCGGTTCATCATGCAAAACTTTGTCTCTCCTTTACTTCGCATAACGACTACATCTTACGTGGATAATGTTTTTCTAATTATTTTTTAAGATTTATATACGGTTTTTTACCCATGGACACGTGTATCGTGCAATGTCACACGTTGGATACGCGGTTACGTCAGGGTTTCACTCGTTGAATTCTATTTGAACTATCTACCTTTTCACGGTAATTAAAGGTAACCTACGTCACTGGTGTTACTGTTTACACGCTAAGCATTGCATTCTGATTCGAGCTGTAGATCCTTGGCTACCGAGCGCCTTATTTTTCTTGTAACCCGAGAATTTGACGGTAGGGTTTGCGTTAATGAAATTAGTGTTTATCATAGGAAGATATATCACGGCTGTGTTGGCCTCCTTCCTTTTCTGTTTGTAGGAGGAAAAATATTGGCAGAGTGGAAAGGATGTTGTCATCGTTGTACGGGACGTGTTTTGACACTCTGAAAAAAAAGGAAATTGATAGCTACCCTCTTGGCAGTAATTCGCGTCTCTTGGATGGAGCCACAGGATCTGAGATATTCTGACGGTTGAAATCTGATAAAGTCCTTGCACTTGGAGGATGAAGCCAATAGGGTGCAACGTGGACGTAAGACGGGCAAGGATGTTAGGGGGAGATAAAACTGTAGCTGTGAATCTTCGTCCGGGGTACGAGGATCGGTTCATCCTGGTTTACGATCGGATAAACAGGATACGAAGGGGCCCGCCAGGACCTCCGGTTCGCGAAAGATATTTTCCATTTATTTTCCGATCGCTGTGTGTCTTTCTGTTAGATTTCTTTTTTATTATTACTCCTAACGGGGTACCTGGAATTGAAAAGTCACCAAAGAGCGGAACGGAGTATCTCTTTGCGATTTATCAACATTCTTCTTGCGTCTTCCGTTTTTTCTTTTTTTTTTTTTGCTTTTTTTTTTGACATATTTTTTTTCTTTATTTTCGTCCTTCCATCGTTATCAAAATCTTGCATCCGTTCGATCGGATCGTCAAAAAGTTCTCAAAGTCGTTTCCCTGCTTTCGTGGTCATAAGGAGTGAAAAACAAAACTCAGAGGAAAAGTGGGAGGACACTGTGAGCTGTGATAATGTTATTGGATAGCCTCTTTCGAAAGCGTCAAACGTGTTGATTTTGTGAGCAACTTTTCTTGCAGGACGAAACGGCCAAATTTGCAATCCTTGACAGTACCCAGAGACTGGATGCTGATATGATAAAATCAAAATTTTTTTGTATCCACATTCCACCCTCTGCATTCGTGTGTAATTAATGTCGCTCTAGTCAAGAGGGAAAATTCGTGGAGAAATAAATCGACGGTGCCCTGTCAGTGAATTTGTGACGTATAGATCGGTAATATGTCATTGCCAACTTGGTACCGGTGGAATGGACCTGCTGGCACTGATTTACCAAAAATGCTTGAAATCTGCTTGTTTCTCGATATAGCGGTCGTGACGGAAATAAAAAATTTCCCGCACACCATAAAAAAAAAAAATACACGCGCGATATTCCTGCGGTAAAATTCCCAACGATGAACTCCTACGGGAATCTGCAGCTTGTCGCGAATTCGCGTCCAAGAATTTTTTCGGCGTAAACGTCGTCAAGCTTGGACGAACGAAATATCTGCAACATCGTGACTTTAAAACTTGTCCGAATGCCTCGTTGAAAACTTTCGACAAATGCTTGGCTTATTTCGTGTTCCTAGAGAGTCTGCCATCCATTTCCGAGTTTCAGCTAGAAATTCGTGTTTCCCTCGGTGATGCAGTCGCCATTTCTAAAGGTCGTTGCACAAAGTGGGCAGAAGAATTGAGACGTTTTTTGACCAGTTTATCCATCAAACTATATATATATTAAAGCTTTAATCGCAGCCCCTCCTGGTCCCGCGTAGCATGTATACTGTAAGAATAAATCGGCATTATAAAAATATTTCTGCAGTATAATATTTGAAAACCGTATATACCTGCCATTCTAAATCTTAGAGCTTACACGAATACACGGGATATAACCTAGGAAAAATCAGAACACCATCCGGTAGTAGCGAAGCTCAGATTAATTATCCCATAAAATTTGTTGCCGCTTCTTATTGCCCATGGATCCTCACGAAGCGCTGATAATGAATTTTTGTAGAGCTTTCGTAGGCGATAAAGCATAAAAGAAACAACGAAGTTCTTTTTTTTTTTTTTTTTTTTTTTTTTTTTTTTTTTTTTTTTTTTTTTTTTTTTTTTTTTTTTTTTTTTTTTTTTTTTTTTTTTTTTTTTTTTTTTTTTTTTTTTTTTTTTTTTTTTTTTTTTTTTTTTTTTTTTTTTTTTTTTTTTTTTTTTTTTTTTTTTTTTTTTTTTTTTTTTTTTTTTTTTTTTTTTTTTTTTTTTTTTTTTTTTTTTTTTTTTTTTTTTTTTTTTTTTTTTTTTTTTTTTTTTTTTTTTTTTTTTTTTTTTTTTTTTTTTTTTTTTTTTTTTTTTTTTTTTTTTTTTTTTTTTTTTTTTTTTTTTTTTTTTTTTTTTTTTTTTTTTTTTTTTTTTTTTTTTTTTTTTTTTTTTTTTTTTTTTTTTTTTTTTTTTTTTTTTTTTTTTTTTTTTTTTTTTTTTTTTTTTTTTTTTTTTTTTTTTTTTTTTTTTTTTTTTTTTTTTTTTTTTTTTTTTTTTTTTTTTTTTTTTTTTTTTTTTTTTTTTTTTTTTTTTTTTTTTTTTTTTTTTTTTTTTTTTTTTTTTTTTTTTTTTTTTTTTTTTTTTTTTTTTTTTTTTTTTTTTTTTTTTTTTTTTTTTTTTTTTTTTTTTTTTTTTTTTTTTTTTTTTTTTTTTTTTTTTTTTTTTTTTTTTTTTTTTTTTTTTTTTTTTTTTTTTTTTTTTTTTTTTTTTTTCTTCCTTTAATTCCCTCTCCTTTTCTACAATCAATTACCCTGGCTCAAATATCCCGCGAATATTTCCCAACACTCGCCGTTTTCCCTGTACACGATCCTATTTGCTCTATACTCGTTCTCAAGCTTGTTTACCTATTGCAGTGACTTCGGTCGATAACAAGGGTTGGAGTTTCGTCTTAAGGAACCTCTGAACTCTTGACACTTTAATCACATAGGAATCAACCCTTATCGAGCTTGTTGTACCTTAATACCTTGACATCACTTTAAGCTCTACTTGAAGCTCCGGTATATATATATACCCACCATCTTATAGTGTAACCGTATAAGGGCATCGTAAAGCACCAAGTCGAGAATGTATTGTGTCTGACAATGCTTGCAAGCTCGCCCATATAACGGGTGGAGACTTATGTACATAAATGTTTCCAAGGGGTTGAATATTACTCCAGCATCGGTAACGGAGAAAAGGAAAAGCAGTACAGTCGTAAGACATGCGAAAAAAAGCTTTCGCGTTCTACGGAGCTTTTAGAGAATGGTATCCATTTACTCGGCGCATCGTCTTCGGAGCTCGCTACGAGCTTTTTCCTCGTAATTCGAATCGTAAAGCAAACTCAGTCCTCCCTATGCTGTTTAATGAGAAGCGCTAAAGTCACATCGGTTCCATTGGTTGTTTGTCGCCGAGTCGATTAACCCTGGAACTTTTTTTTTTATCACTGTCACGTTTGTCCTCGACTGAACGATCTCTTAAATTTCTAGGAAACTTTTGGAAACGAATTGACTCTTAACGTGTCACCGTTTTAGATGGCCGTTTTGGTCTCCCGGTGAGATGGTTGTTTTGGCGGGAAGTCATCTCAATTTCGAATTGACTTATTACGACTTAGAGACTTTCTGTAATAAAATAAAATGTGTTTAGTTTGGACGACGTCGTCTCGTCTTCTTTATCAGGTTTTTTTTATTTCCTTTTATTTTTATTTTTTTTTCTTATTAACTAAAGTGTCGCGTTCCGACTTTATAGCGAGAAAAGGATACGAAAAGTTTTCACGAGATACAGTTAAGGTAATTACATTAAGTGCGTCAGATTATTATTTTTATTTAGTTCTTTTTCGTTTGTGCTTTGAAGTTATATTATTTTTATTATTTTGTACTATACCGAAAAATGCGAATCATCATCGTCATTATCGCTTGTGTATATATTGACGTTATCTCGAAACTTTTTGAAAAATCTCATCGTGCGAAATCGAAAGAGTGCCAATGATGCCTTCAATTATTTTTTGGGAAACTCTTCATGTGCTTTTCCATCGGGTGAAAAGCAATTTGCTGTCAGTCGTTTCAGGATATCTATAGGATCCAGTTCGATTAACTCATTCGATTAAAATACAAAACCACAAAAACTAGACTGTATGGAATATATGAATTCTGTATGAATTTTATCCACTATCCGGAAGAGTAAAATTATTCGTGAAACTTTTCCTAGTGCACTTCGTCGGGTCGCGCTTAATGACTCTTGCTACTCGTTTGTTCTCTCTCTCTCTCTCTCTCTCTCTCTCTCTCTCTCTCTCCTTTTTTTTTATAACCCTGATTTTCAAACGGAAATTCGCATTCGTGGAAAAGGACAGAACCGACCAATCAGCATTTCTCTCGCTTGCCATCCGGCCTTTTGTCGAGGGGCGACCGCACGTCACGCTGGTCGCTACATAGCGAAACCAAAGAGAGTGAAATACCAATAGATCCGGACGAACGAAGAGACAGAGAGAGATAGAAATTCATAGGAACATGGAGAGTGGAGAGAGAAACAGAAAGAGGGTACACAGACCGAAACACGCTGCACTTTCGAAGCGTGAAACGTTATGCCAATACGGTACTCGATTTGGCGAATTTAATCCTGGAACGTTCCGTTGCTGTGCCTTTTATAAAAAAAAAAAACTAAATTATAGAATTTTTTTATTTATTTTTTTTGTACATTATTTTTCCCGTAATTACGAATTTAGTCAAATCAAATTAGGTATCGTTCAGTTGGGACCAAGACGAGGGGAGGAAAAAAAAAATAAAATTCATCGGCACGGCTTTAGGACCCTGTGGCCAGATTATGGGATCATCCTAAGGGTTTAAGAATGATCCTCGTTCCTTAGCTCTATCTTCTGGACCAGTCAGCCGCAATCCGCGGATCTTCCGTCAGCCACTTTTTTTCTACGTATGTATATACCTATCGATTATACATACGCCATCTGGACGGTGGGTTCGTGTACTCGCGTTGACATATCGGATTACTCTTAAGTGATATGGCGAAAGGGATGGGTCGCGTTCGAGGTTTAAGGAAAAGGAAGACGCGTACGAGTTTTCTAGGTGGTGGCGCTTTTAGAGATAGTAATAAGAGGAGGTGGATGAAATTTCTTTTTTTTTTTTTTTCTTTTTCTTTACATCGTATTTCGTGGGTTAGGAATGAGCAAAAATATTCATACGGATTAGGTAAACTAGGCCAATTGGAATTCATGGGTTTGATCTTGTAAAATGTCCTGTCGAGATGGATGAACCGTCGATTTGGGGGTTTCGATTTCTCGCGAGAGGGATATATCGCATTATCTTAATCCTTTTTGCGTGAAAGTTTCGTCCCTTTCTTTTTTCTTTCTTTTTCTTTCTCTCTCTCTCTCTCTTTCTCGTATTCTTAGCACTTCACGAAAAAAGAAATCCAAGTATCGCCATTGTGATTCGGGACAAAGAGTACAATCATACGGACGCGCCCTTTCCTGTGCTTTCACGGTATAGGGTTAGGTGTGGACTATGTGTGTTCAGGGGTGAAGCCAGGGTACGAATTGCACGAGAAAATTTTCAAATTGGATTTCTTGCTTGGTAATAAAGGAATGGTGGTGGGACGTAAAGGCGGAATGAAATAGAGACTTGGTTTAATTTTCGAAAAAATATCTTTACCCATTTTTGACTCAAATCCAAGAGCATTTTTAATCCGTAGGGCGACGATTTCTATATTGATCGTCTCGTACGAATTTTTGTTTCAGTAAAAATTACATAAAAATTCCTTAACCGATTATTGAGAAGAATAAAAAAATTGTAAAAAAAAATAAGTGGATGAGGGATTTGACAAGTTTTTTAAATCGCGTCTCCTTTTTCAATTCTGAGCCAATATTTTAATCGTGTTCAATCATTCAACGGCTCACGAGTAACGACAAATTTTGTGACCGTAAATTTCGAAAGAAAAAATGCCGATCCCCAACTTTCCTCCCGCATCTTCATTCACGAAAAAGTTTCTACTTTTAGTTAATGACCCGCCAGGCCGTGAGCTAAGCGATCACGGAATGTCCAATATCTACCTACCAGTTTTCTTGGCAAGTAGAAAATCTCAGGAATGTCTACAGAGAGACACGTGCATTGGCTCGACGTTCCATAATAATTTATTCACACGGGCTAACTATATTTATTTCCTCCCCACTGGATTATTTATCGAAAAGACGCAAATAGACAGAAATCGACCAGTCGCAGTGGATATTAATTATTCAAAGATCAACTTCTACCCAACGATATACATGAGCACGGTGATCTCGCTCCACTGGAGTCTAGACAAGTGGCGCCACGGTTGACGCAATTTGAAGGTTATTCACGCCGAGATCACGTGACAGTGGAAAAAAAAAAACCGTCTGCGCGCGAAGTTTACCATTAATTAAATTAATTGTAAAGGAGTATAATCTATCTGAAAACGAAACTAAATAAAGGTCTCTCTTTGTTTGCAGCGCGTCTCGAGGAGGAAAAGGGTGCGTCGGATGCTCAGATGCTTTGGGCAGCTTGTCAGACCCTTGCAAGAGCTCTGAAGCTGGCGCCACCTGGAATCCCTGCTGAGAAAGCATTGAGGCCCTTGGAACCAGAGATCAAGGCGGTTTCCAAAGCAGCACGTGAGTAGGACATTAACGAGATAAGACCGGTTGCTAGTCTTCTTTTATGTTCTTTTTCTTTGCCTTTCGAACCTCTGTCTTTCGTCTTTCTTTCTCTTGTTGCTCCCACCTCGCACTCTCATTCTATTTTCCTTCAATCTTTTTTTTACCCCTTGAGGAATTCGAGCCAACGACGTCTTATCGTTTCGACATTCCCGTCTGGTCGTATTATATCTACAGTAAATGTTCCCTGCAGCCGCCAATTCGGACTCTTGCCCCATCGTTGTGTACAATACACGAGGTAGTACGTGTATTCTGCCGCTAGATGGCAGGAAGAGAAAATAGCTAGAATTTGATGAGCCGTTAAACATTGTTCGCCTGGAGTGTTTCTTTGGGCAAAAGTAATGGCGTTCGAGACGTCTTCAACGCGGCGACGAAGCTGCTCGCTTTTAACAGTCCTGGTCGAATTACGGCCTAATCGAGTGTCTGACGAGTATAGGGGCGGTCTACAGAGATTGGACCTTAAGTGAGTGGAGGATACTCGGGAGGTCGGAGAAAGGGGTTGCTTCGGAATGGAGAAAGAGAAGAGTCGTCATGCGGCTCTTGAAATACCTTCAAAGGGATGCTCACATTCAAACTCCCTGCGCACCCTTGACCCTTCACCCTTTCGGTAGATAACGTGCGGTCGCGTTCACGGGCAATTACACGCGCGTGCCTATGCGAAATAGCGCACGGAAACATCTCGTAATTGAAATGCTGATGCTAAAAGTTCACTTCTCTCTACCTTTTTCTTTCTTTCTTTCTCTCGCTCTCGCTATTGCTCCTATTCTTTTCGTGCTTTACATTCTCTCTCTCTCTCTCTCTCTCTCTCTCTCTCTCTCTCTCTCTCTCTCTCTCTCTCTCTATGTGCCACTTTTACTCTGTCCTCCTTTACGAACAGTACCGAATCTCTGTCACCCTGTGACGGCTAAAATTGCACAGTATTCTGTCTGGCCATTTCTTAAAATTTCTTTTTGGTCGCTATCACAGAAAAATGGAGATTACCCCTTAGTCGATTTGTTTTCCTTCAACCTCTAGTGTGTCCTGCCTAACCCCTATTTTTTCAAAGACAAAAATTTCAGCGTCAAACAGCCTCGAGGGTCCTTCACTTTGAGACCGCAGTCGTTTCCATGATTCATTCGTCTCTTTCTCTCGAAACTCGCCCTTAGTCTTTATTAAAATCGTTCATTGTTTTTTGTCGCAGCCAAGGAAGATCCTCTGGTTCGTGCCGCAATCCAGGGTATCCCCGAGGAAGCTGTCAAGAGAGGCGTTTTCCCCGAGGATGCTCTTCGCGAGAGATTCTTCAAGGTGATAACACAGCATCCAGTCATTTGAGTATATACTAACGATAACTGATAAGATTCACGGACAACCTAATTCTCGTTTCCAGGTAGAGAACATGGCGAGGAGGTTAGCACTGGTACCTGAAAACGGCGCCTCGTTACCGATTTACTTGCTCAGCTACCTTCAGAGTTTCCTCCTGGTGAAGGCAATCAGTCCCATATCGAAGACCGAACTCCAGGACGAGCCATTTGACGTCCAGTCACTGAGCACCTATGATATTCTCCAACGTGCCAGGTAGGGTGACGCTGTATCATTTCAGGAAGCTGTAAACTTGGAGTAGTTCAGTTTACCTTGCTGAAATACATAGCACCCTTTCCGTTTATAAAATCAAGTATAGGATCATCACAGTCCTCTCTCTGCATGCTTTCCCTTGTCTATATACTTTGTTTAATAGTATCTACATTCAGGTTCCAGCTTCCTAGTACAGAGTACAAAATTCACATTTACTTAAGGGATGTACCTACGTGTCTACCTTACCTGCCTCGCTGTGAGCTTGCTGGTGTGCCTGATTACGAGCAGAATGGATAGAGAAGCTTTACCTCTCGTATTTGCGGAATATCCCTTTATTTTATTAAAGCGAGCGCCGTTCCATCCTGGGACACGTGCTGCAACCGACAGGCACACCGTAGCACGCTTTTCTCGTGCTCCAGGAGGCTATATAAATTGTCCTTGTAAGAAGGGAAGGATCCACGCCTGCTGCAATAAAGCGAAACGTGCGCGATCAACCTTGATGAAAACACCTGGCCGGCAATATCCTCGGGAGTGGCAGTTTAACAGAGAATTTTTCTGTCGGTAATATTGGGATATTACCGTAATCGTAATTTCGTAAATGTATTTTCATTTTTGCGTTAGTCATAGATAATTTTATTACCATCACTTTTTCTATTTGTTTCATGGCTCCCGGTGTCGATGGGAGAAAATAGAGGATTATGTTTTTCTTCTGATTACCAAAACTGCATTCCCTCAGGAAATACATACGTAGGTTCGACATTTCTTCTCTTACTCATACGGCAGGCAGGCAATCTCTTTTTTGGGAGCCGACGTTGGTGCTTGGATTAAGGGAAGGATAGCAGGGAGCCAAAGGGAAATTCAAAGTACCCAGGAAAAAGTGTGATCAAAGAATGCTTGGGAACTTTCTGTGGTGACACCGGGAGCCTGAAAAACTCTTCTCGTGCTGAAGGAGACTGGAAAATAGTTATAGTTACAACTTCCCTCGAGACATAGGGTAGCGCCTCTTGGGCCCTACTATGCTAATATTGTTCGGTGCCAATGATAAAATCGATTAACTTGAAGTGGAACACGTCGCTTAAGGCTCTTTCTATAGTAGCACATTCGATGATTAATTTTAAAGATGCATTTAGTCGTGGAACTGTAATGGTATGAAGATACTTTATTCTTAACGCATAATATTCTTGGGGCTTTCATTTTAACAGATCATCGGGTATCATCCAACACGTTTCTCTGGTTCTCATTCACTGTTCTTCCTTCTACCTCTTCTCCCAAGGCTACCATGAATTTCCGAATATTACTGCACCACAGAATTCAGCCCAGTGCTACATGGTAAAATCTCATATTTCCCTAGGGAGCTGCTATTACGTCATAGCGGTCTCTTGACGTAGCTCTTCTTCATTTTCAATCCCGTCCCTAATATCTGATTTGCAAAGTAACCATAATCATTCTTGGCATATTCTTGAAACAAAGAGACACCTCGTTATACGCATATATTTGGACTTTAACCAGAGATAGGCTTGATTCCTTAAATACGTTGTAATGATCTTCCTGGGGCCCCGCACATATGTATATACACTCTATAGTCCTTCCGTAACAGCATCACGACTCGTTCTTGACAACTGCTACGTGCGAACCGACTAGCCAAACTACTTTGCACCGCTGCGGAAGACGCGGAAGCTCCTCTTTGGCTTGGGTACATGTACGTATGTATGTACTCCTGGGTATACGTATCAGAGGGAAGGGGAGTGGGTGAGGAAGGACGAGGGAAGGAAAAAGGAAGAAGGCAGAGGACGGAATCGAGAGCCGTGAGCCGTTAGATCTAGTGAATTTTTAAACGCACGGAGCGCACTGCGGATTGCACCCGTACGTAGCAGAGGTCGTGGTGGCCGACCGGGGGAAAAAAGGAATACGATAGAGGAGACTTAACGGGCTAGCGAGTTCGGTAATTAGTTTTAATAATTAACTTCATCGCGGTTCTCCACCAATAACCTGATGGGAATATGAGGTAGCGAAGAGGAAAAAAAAAATCTTATTCGTTCAGGCCTATATCTACGGGGAACCGTACATCTATGTAATAGATACCAACCTGTCCTATCACTGAATATGGCCACCCGGAACATTGACGTGGTAGCCGCGTTAATTTGTTTTGGGAATCGGGTAATTGATCGAGCGTGAAAACATCCAGCGTGACTCCTGTGATGGTTCGATACATTATGCCTATGTGTGCCGTATCAGCAATCTCGTTCAGTCAGGCTACAAAAATTCTATTATCTCCATCGGCAACATCGATACCTTTTCCAACGTGACGATACGCTTTTATCTGTTAAATGGCGATTTTGTTGTGCATTGAAAAATTTTACTGTATATTTCAGTAAAGTAGGTTATTCGATTTTTTGATATTTTTTTGGCAGGGAGGATAAGCATATGTCTATGTGTGTACCTATTGCGTATAAAATCTCCGTCGGATATCAGATATGTTCTAACTGGAGACCACGTTTCTAAATGATAACACTCGATGCTGAGATAACGCTTTGTAATAACAATGTTGTATCTCGTACGAAAATTCGTCCTGCACGTACAAAACGTCCTGGTGGTTTTACTTGAGATACGAGTCCAGCCGCAGCAGTGTGCCCAGTGACCCCCCTGAAGGCTTGGAAACTCTTGTTTGGAAGAGTGGGGTGCAGTTTAGAGGAGAACTAGTGAGCTTTCCTCCCTAGGTGAAAACAATACCCGGGCGAGTCCCAGCAGAAGGTACCCAGTTTGGAACTACTAATGAAGTGTGGACCAAGCTGGCATCAAGGGAATTTGAAAGGCGTCAGCTGTCCAGTCTTGGCCGTCTCATAGTTTCTCGAGGGATTTTCAAAAGTTCCTGGTCTGACCGTTGGACGTACTTCCATTTGTTTGCAGATACTGGGTCGATCGCGGTGACTTTAAGATGGCTCTGCGGTACATGAACCTTCTTCAGGGTGCACCACGCTGCGTGGCCAGGGAGTGGATGAACGAGGCCAGGATCCTCCTAGAGACGCAGCAGGCTGTTGACACGCTAATCGCTTACGCCGGTGCCACGGGACTGGTCTTCCTCGGTGGTGGAGATTCCTCCCAGGTCGGTACCTACTGGTAACCTCGTTAAAGAGGACTTGGACTACTTATGGAACATAAATCTTACGACGCCACCAACCTACGCCAACCACCCTTCTACCTGGTCATGCTTCTTGCTCCTTCTGGGGAATCGTGGCGCATGGTGTAATGTGTCGGGTTCTCCCTCACTCGGCACGGCCTCATTTTATTGGGGAGGCCTTCGAGTTCGTTTCGCGCAATCATTGCAGGATGATCGATTTCCGGTTAATTGAGAAAGTTCTCGAGCGAGACGAAGGTGTTATCAGTCGGCACTCCTTTGGGATATATCTACTAGTTTGAGGAGGAACCTTTCTTTAGCAGTGCTTTTTTTTCACGTTTGCCAAATTTTTTCTCTTTCAGACGAAGAAGTAACCTAACGCGGACGAAGATAGGTTCTGAAAGAGAAAGAGAGAGAGAGAGAGAAGAGAGAAACGGTAGAAACTGCCAGCACCGGAAGAGACGCGGAATGATTTGGAGGAAGCGGAGCCAGCACCACTGTACAGTCCACTGTCTTGTATAATGCTTTATTTTATTTTCCTTCTCTTTTTTTTTCTATAGTAAATTATGTCGAGAATGGTTTAATAAAAGATATTTCTTGTGGTCGCGCTGAATTGAACGATCCGTTTGGATCGGCCGTGCAAAGTCCATGTGTCCCGGACGGAAGTCTCCGTTGGACAAGAATTTGGATAAGAGTAGAAACGATGGAATTCCGCAATCGAATACGTAATGCGCTGCAGCAAGAAAAATAAAGGAACAAAATCGATCTCTTCTTTAGGATGTTCGTTTCTTTATGGATGAGAAAAAAAAGGACCTGTACAATCCTTTCGCTGAATTTACGTTCCACAATCAAATTCTTGTTTGTCAATGTCGTAACTACGTTTTCTGTTGGTTTTTTTTTAAATTTTTAATCTATGTTGTAATAACTTTTTATCCGCAAACGTGATCCGCACTCAACCTCTTTCCGCTGAGACATGAATTTTCAATTTTTCCATTGACCCCACGGAGAGTCACGAGGCTTTGTAAGGACTTTATTTCCAAATTTTGTGACACTTGTTCAAGGGAAATTGTATAGGAATGAATATAGGGACATTCAAAGCATTCGGTCGAGTAATATACTGTATAAAGAAATGCACACAATCCTGCTAACGAGATAATGGAACACGGTTCTGGTAACGTGTCTAAGGTAAATCTCAAAATCTTCTACAGCGCGAGCATTGGAATCAACGAAGAACGTATTTGCAAGTGACTTTTTCGCGAAAAAAGTCGTCTGTAATTTCGCTAGTGAATAATAGAAAATTGTAAGTACCGAATGGAATGAAAAGAAAAAAATTACGAGAGCACGAATTTCTTTTTCCACGTTGCAAACAAACATACGTTACCTTCCATTCCTTTTTCGTGTCCTTTGATTAAGAAATAGCTTCTTTAGCGTGAAAACCTATTGAATTATACTTTTAAAGATTTTTTTTCAAAATACACATTTCACAAAAACAGAAAATGACGTATTAAGAAATAAGAACTCAATGGGCATGTATTCGCAATAGTTAGTTATCCTTAAAAAAAATTTTTAAAGCGTTGGAAAGTAATACGCAATCTTTTTGATTTGAATTTTCAAATCATTCATAACCGCATCGTACCTAACTGTACACAGAATGACTGCCGTCTGTAACTGCCAATGTATTAAAATAAATTTCATAAAGAGTAAAAAAGACAGAGAACTCATCTCCGAAGACTCTTGACAAACAAATTTCACCCCTTATTTAAGAGGATCACATTTTCGAATTAGAACTTTCACCTAATTTTCGTCTCTCACGAATTTTTTTGTTCGTTCAGCCTCAAGGTATTCCGACGAGTTATCCTGGATAACCTAGTTACGTGTATCACGATAATTGTCGTGAATTTTTCCAAGAAATTCGCAGTCTCAAAAAAGGTAGGTGTCCAATTACGTTAACTCTGTCCATATTCGTTATAATAAATGAAAAACGAGTCACCATGTACGGTAAAGTCCACGCGAGCGATAATCGTATTTCTCCCATTTGCAAAGTATGTGACCTTTAAAAACTCCATTGTTCTCTTAATTTAACCGTCATTTTAGACAGTCGGTTGAATTTCAAATATTTTACGTTATCGTGAAATTTTTTAGTTTCCTTTGCCTTGGCTTCTTTTCTCGTACAATAGAAAAACATTAAAATGGTGTACATATACATATATAATAAATTGTACATATCCACTCTTATACTCGCCAGCAAAATTTGGTACGATAATTAGTAAAGTTCATTCCTTAGTCATGTTACGTTAATTGATATTTATCGTAGAATATTCAAGCGAGTGATTACGCGTAAACGAATTTGTGATCGAGGAGCGATAGCCAGTGACGCAGCTAATGGCAACGGGAGCTTCTCCACCTCCTGTCCTCTTTATGAAATTTTGCGATTCAATTTATGGTCACTCGTCGATAAGCGGATTTGAATTTATATCTAACCTACATGACCGTTCGGCGGGTTACATTCGTGCTCTATGCAAACATCCAGTGGCACACGTGCATAGCTTCACTCCGTATGTACTTACCTAACCTCTAAAGCAGAGAGAATTGAATTCCTTCGTACAGACTATATAACAGTCAGTGCATAAATGTTTGGATGATATATCATCCCAGTGTATTTCAAGAGTTTCTTACATTCGCTCTCTATATAATATACACCTTGTACATAGACATGACACAGATATATACACCTCGTCTTCATCCACAGCCTCGTGTGCTACTTGGACGTCCTGTACATAAAAACACGTCATCCTTTCACTTCCGGATAACACAATCTATCATCAGCACTTTCCTGGATGGACGTACTTGTGGACGTAGGAAAAATTGCGAACGAGTATCGAATTTGACGGACGTCAAGAAAGACTTTTCCACGGTCAGTATCTACGTGATTATCACTCGACACGTACTTTAACGTTAATCGAACGGCACTGAAGCACGTTAAGCGGCATCAGACACACGGTTGATATAATCGGCTGGATTTCAAATTAATTTGCTAGCAGCGTGTTTACGATAATGGAGGCTCGTGTTACGACCACGAATTCAATGCGGATTAATCTCCGTGAGCGTTACGCGCTCTCGTTGAGCAGGACAATTACATTGGTATTCATAACCCTCGATGTCGGTCCCCAGGTGATCAGTGTCCCTGGTCAGGATTAAGGACAGTACTGGGACTAGGAACATGCGGAATAGGATAATCCAGTGTATACGCTACCAGCCATGGATTTTTGGTTAGTTTAAAAAGTTCAGTTGCTTATTAATTGAGTTGTCTTATCAAATTTGACATCCTTTGATTTCGAGTTGTTTGGTTAGTCTGTAATTCTTGGGATCTTTAGATCTCTGAAATTGGACAAATAATGGAAGAAGGAAAATCGTGTAGAAGAAAAACTGCAGACTCCTATTATGGTTACTGGGTTGTAGCTCAAAATAATAGCTGCTATAAATAACGTAACGACCTTTGCTCTGGGAGGAACATGGAGGAAAGAAAAAAAAAAGATGCTATCTCGTGAAATGAATTTCGACTCCAGGAATAAATCGTCCCGTGTAATTACCGCGTGGTTAATGGCCACTTGTTCGCTCAGTGGAAACTGGGTATTGCGGATTTCAAGATACACTTGAGAATTCAGTCGATTCATCTGACAGAATTTAAGGGTGGGACATTGCGTCAGGTATGTCACACTTGCTCCAGATAATAAATCTTGATTAAAATTAATGAGTTTGAATTTTTTTTCTTTTATTATAAATCGACACGACTATTAAGAGCGTGCGGTAATGAAACTTTATAACCCTTGAGAGATAAATGAGGCTTTTATATTCACCGTAATAATTGTTTATAATCTTCAGAAATTAATTTATATTAACGTTCCGCTCTATAAAATAATACTTTGCCCAACAGAATTCACTGCAGAATTCCAGAGCGATGCGCACGCAGCTACAGTCACAATCATAATGACAATCACAGTGTAAGTCCATTGTAAGGTTAATATAGAAGTAATGGCTGGGTATAATAAAGAAGACCTTATGGAACGGGCAATAAAGGCAGTCCGCAAAGTCCGACCGCATTCGCGAAACTCCTATGAATTTATCCACGCGATACGTTTCTCCTGTATGCATATAAGTTACGTTTGTACCAAGTCGCACCAGGTTGCGTTGCGGTAGAAAATCTATGACGCTTAAAATCCTGCGGAAAGCCAAACGAAGGAAAAACCAAAGTTAAGTGATTTTAGAAAAAAATGCCTAAGGTAACGTAAAATTTCAATTACGGTAAAAACAATTGTATAACCTAACAAAAATATTATTAAAAGATCGATACGTGGAATAATTGAACGTGGATTTAAGTAATTGAATCGTAATGCATGAATGGTAATGGTGATGGGAAAACAGTACCAATAAATTCTACAGGGTGTGGTATGAAATTTGATTATCACGATCTTGTACATAATTCAATTTATCTCTCGAAATTACAAACGGATCTCTATACAGAGTTTCGGATTCGAGACTCGGTCATTATCTTTTTTTAATTAACTTAGGATTTAACAAATATAAAATTATATTGTACTATGTACATTTTATTATATTACATGTATACGATAAATACATAATTCAGCGAGCTTCAACGCTTCTTCCCACGAGCCTCTGAGAGACAAACCGGGCAGATGAACATTAACACAAATAAGAAACGAGGATTTGCATGGGAAACGCACTGGCCTGTGCGCCCTTGCAGCAGTCGGGTATAACAACGGTACGACAGTGACTCGCGCACCCGTGTGCTAGGGAGACGATTACGCGAGGCGTAGAATGAACGACGCGAAACCGAAAGAAGAAAAAGAAGAAACTGAGAGACCGATGATGCTCTGTTTGTCACCGGATTAGCTATCCTCGGACCCGTAGCGACCATGAAAGCGTAGGATGACGCGTGAGAGTACGTCGAACAGAAAAGATCAGTTGATCCCGTGAATTGAAAGTTACATCGGTTCCACTAACAAACTCACGATCTTCAATTGTTTTGACGATCCCGATTAAATAGATCCTGGCATCTGGCTACGTTAGGATGGCTGCAACGGCTCCGTGCTGCTTCTGCGATCCCTGTATGCTCGCCGATCCTGAAGACGCTCGCCGCTTGCTTCGCGTTGAGCCGCCATGTTGCGGTGCTCCGGTCTGACGTCACCTCTCCTCGACAGCGCTCCGCCAGGCTCGTAGTTGGCTCTCTCGGGCCCCGACTCAATAGAAATTGTATCGAATCCTCTCGGATCCGGTTAATGAAGTCAAAAACAAGCGAAACGTTTCGCACAGGAAAATAAATACAAATACTTGAAATAAAGTCAGTCCAACGCCACGCAAAAAGCTTCGTAACCCATCAGGCACCTCGACGTAGCCGAATTCGCATACTTCGTGACGTGCATCAAAATGCCACGTCACAGTATATAATGTAAGGCTGAAGAAGCACGTGAGGCTGCAAAGGTTACGACCAGGAACACTCCAAATCCCAAGGACGCCCGTAGACTCCAAAATCTGTGGTGAGGAACAGGTGGTATCTAAAATGGAATATGTAGACTTCCAACTTCCAGTAAAAAATAGCACTGCAATACATTTTAGCTCCCGCGTACAGGTTTGCGTCTAACTGAACGCGAAACTCAAAACAATTGCGAATCGCATGTTCGACGTAGAGCTGCAGCACGAAGCTAAGGCGTTCCGACAGTATCGAAAATCTGTCAAGAAGTTACCAAATTTCAAACGCAGATATTTCCCTTATTATGTATGCTCTCCGTACGAACTGTTTTTCATCTTTATTCTTCTTTTCCTGCTCTATGACTTTTGCATTTAACTTTTATCGTTATCATTTCACTTGACAAAGATAATTTTTTTATTTGCCTACGGGAATCAAACGAACAATAATAATACGCCTAATCGATGCATAATCAAAAAACATTCATAGGTTATCACATAAGATTTTCGAAATCGTGCATCTTTTCACCGCAAAGCGCAAACATGCGTCTCAGCTGATACACTTTGCATAGAACATATGGACATTGTAAAAGGATTGAATAGGTACGATAACGTATACGAATTTTTTCTGTAAAAATTAAATTTTCTTATCATATGTAAACTTCTGAACGACAATGTAATTATACAGAGACGTTATACCGTTACCACGGATAAATATGTTCCAATAGTTGTGTCATAATTTTAGTCCCACTTATTAATAAATACCACTAAAACTGTCACTAGGCACACTTAATAAAATGCGTTACAAGCAAAGCCATCAGTTGTAATTCAAAGTGTTCTTAAACTTGACAACAATTACCAATTGAAAATATATGACGGATATTCAAATCCTTTTTAATCGATATTCTTACAGTGAGTAGCACCGTTCATCCATTAAGCTTATACTTACGCGAAAAAGAATAGACTTTTTAATAAAGATAATTAATATCCTCGCTCCGAAGTAACCATAAAAAAATGAAGTAAAATTGTAAAAAAAGCTAATAGAATGAATCAAGTAAAATAAAAAATGTCAAATTCATCAAAATAAAGAATACCAATATATAACACTATGACTTTTAGTAGCGATATAACGGCGTAGTCAGTATCGGTCGTTAGTATTCAAAAGCCACAATGCAGGAGCCGTCCACTTGCATATTTTGAGAAAATCCACAGCAGATTCAGCAACATATTCCGCAAGAATATTTAAAGGTTTCGGGCACGAATATTAGCATATTTATTGAACGTCACTCATAGCTCCGTCCCAGGACCTAAAATACCAACTGCACGTCTTCGTTCCACCCTAAGGATAACCAACGGATCAACCACCAAGAAGACATAATTACTTCACCCCAATTGGATAGCATCTTCCCACGTCGACCCAAAGTGATCTGTTTCGGTTGACAGATTCTAGACCACTTTCATTTTCTACCCCCGTCAAAAGCGAACCCCAGCAAAGCATACCCCAGGTATGATCCGACAATCAAATTATTTTCCGTAAAAGCCATCGAAACTTTTCCCTCCCGATCCAAAATTCCTTACCGCTATCGCAAATCGAATAAACCCCCCAAAAAATTTGTCTACTAAAAAATAATTAATTTATAGCAAACGTAAAAGCTGCTATTAGTTCGGTATGTTGTATACACGTATATATATTTACTCCCGCAATATAGTATATGCCTACTACACTGCGGTCTTGTATCCAATACAGCATACCCCTGGGGCGCAGAAAACTTTGAGATTATAACTTGAATTTTTAATTAGGCCCAGGAACAAGGGTCATCAATCTTGGCCAAGGGCAGTAATCGTTCACGAGAAGAAAAAGGAGGAAGTCGCCACGTCAGCCGATTAAAAATTGTCATCGTTCCTTATACTTCCTCCGTCGTCCTCGGCTCGTTCGTGCTCGGCCGTCCCTGCTGACATCGCTCCGGGTCCTCCCCAATGCGAACAGCGGAAGTTCAACTTTTCAACTTGAGGTGAAGCTTTTCTAATCAGCGGACATTAATCTTTGTTAAGTCACGAGCGCCGTATAATGGGCCCTTCGCGTACATGCTTCTGCATTATGAAGACCCCAAGTGTTTTTTTTCCCTATCTTCCTTGCGGGCTAGTACTTATCGACTCCTTAAGATGGATCCTCATGATTTTAGATTTAAATTATAATACGAGTAGGCTTTACTTAAGAGTAGATCTGACTTACCCAATTTATTAACGATTTTCTTCCCAGGACGCCCTGTAGTGATGCTCATCGTTAGAGACACTTATTAAAGAATCGGTACGCTCTGTGAAATGATTTGGGACAACAGAGCGTACAAATTCTAAAATAAATATCGTAACAGTCCGATCGATCCAGCATAGACGAAATCCCATTGCACGAAGCGTTGATTGGGTATTGCATAATTTACCAATGCATCGTCCGACTGCATAAACAAAAGGGTTGGAGGAACTTTCATGAGGCGTAAAAGAAAAAGAAATGTTCAGTTCTCGAAAAAATTAGCGAATTATCGACCGGAAGCTACGGCGAACGGTATGAAATTCCGACTGTATTAATCGAAAGTCAAACTGAATGTCATATGAATTTGGCACTGGTTTCAAATTAATTAAATGGCATCGGCCGCTATTTAAAATTCCCGCCCGCGGGAAATGGCTGAATGAAAAAAAAGCTAGCAGATCTCAAAGCTCGACAGCTATTTTCGAAAACTGTTTTCACCTGAAAGTAACAACACGAACCCAACGCAGAGACAATACTAGATTACGTAATGTCGAATTCTGATTACCTTTTTTTATTGCGTGTCTATTATAAATGTACAACTCGTCATACATGATCTGCTTACGTAACTAAGTGTCGTCATTATCTTGTCGTATTCTTATTGCATTTAGTTGTCACGAGCGCCGATATTAAAACTGCAGCGCTCAACGACGTCCCGTCGACCATGACCGATTAATCGTCAGCTAACAATAAGACGTCATTGCATACACACCTGACTCAACATACAGACATATGTGGACAAAGGTACGTATATGTATATCGAAACAGCGGGTGGATAACAGGAAAGTCATATATGATTTGAAAAGGATCTAAGAGAAATGCATAAACGAAATGAAAAAGGACCTTCCTTTGACGAAACGTTATCGGCCTTTTAGTACTTCTTTAAGCCGACGGGACGTGGTGGCGCTTCTTTCACTCACTCTAAAACGCTAATATAAGGATATAACGAGGTCCTATTACGTATGTATATAATAAAGTCAACGCCTAGAAAGCACAATATCAGTGTGAATATAGCTTAATAAGTGTTAATAAGTCATTCCGCTGGTAGTCGGATCGTCGGGTTACGTTAGGATTATAGGTTAGGTTAGGTAGCAAAGTTCCATCTAATTTCAAGAAAGGAAGTGTTTAAGTACGCGCTCAAGTAAAAGCACTCACCAAGCACGCAATTGCTTAACGATTCCAATTAAGGCTTCAGACAAGCTTTAATAGGCAATAGGTACACAAATTAAAAAGTCTTTTGCAGTACGGCTGACACGTTTGCTCTACCATGAATTAAATTCTTTCGACCCGATCGTACAATCCTTCATTTAACATTCCACGTAACCTGACTTCCATCTGTTCCCCTTGTTTTCCGTCTTCCCCTTCGAGGGGTCGCATCCCTTTGATACGAACTGACTATAAATACAATTTTCACGACTCTCCGCGCATCCGACGTTACCCTCAGCCTAGGATCAGCTGGCATATATTGTAACGTCGGGAATCGTTATATCCAATGCTCGGCTGCAAGTCGTAAGATGGTGCTTTGCATTAAACGCGTGCTTACGCAAAAGCTCTTATACGTATAAATGAATATGGTATAGGAGCTTTACTGTAGGTAGTATACCTATATACGTACGGTGAGTACACACTGTAGCGACGTAATGAGCATTAGCGTAAATTACTGGAGGTAGTCGAATTTCTGATACTTCCAGCTCTGCCTGTGCTTCCCTTAATCGTCGTTGGATATGAAAGTGCTTTGTGCAAGACTGTATTCTGATACGTTCGGTATCCTGTGTGCAGATAAAAGGAACGTGACTCGAGTCACAAAGGTCCTATATATATATATATATATATATATATATATATATATATATATATATATATATATATATATATATATATATATATATATATATATATATATATGGATAAATTTTGTTTCTCATAAAAATTGCAAGTCAGCCAACCAGAGATACAATTAGGTGGAGCTTTGATCTTTTCGTGTGAGGTACCTTTAAGAATGCAGAAGAGGACGCACTTAAGTATACACTTGTACTAACGGATTAATTGGGAAAAGCTTGGCTGGGGCGGGGAGGAGAGGAGGGAAAGGGGATGGGTGAGAACTGTCTTTGTCCTTATAGTACTGCGTTGATGATGATAACAATAATAAAATCTTATTGCCTAAATTCCCTAAAGTTAATATGTATGTTGGTTTTATGTATCCTTAAGGTATGTATGCATTTATTTATCCGTCGACAATTATCGACGGTATTGTTCGATTGATTTTTACAAAGAATCTCGTCTTAAACGGGGTGACAACAAGGTAGCAAGATTGATGCTTTCTTTATCTTATATCCATATTTTTGGGTGAAAGTAAGAAAGAGCAAAGTAAACGAAGGGACAAAGGAAAATTGAAAACGGTAGCCAGACTAATGTTATTAATTAATATCGAAAGAGTTTACCGAGCCGTTTTCATGAAAACTCACCAGCCATGACTATCCAATGATAAATCAATGTCTACTGTAGATACACACACGTAAGAAAATACATAACGATCCTCGTACCTTGAAAAGGCCAGTGCGGCAAAGTGGCCGTGGTTCAGAAAATCCTCGTTCCTTTTCTCTACAGGCGAAATCATTCCGCAAAGTACAGTAACAACGCGACAAGGATTATTTATCACTGGGAATAAGGAGGAATCGGATTCGATAGACCCTGACCCTAGCTCTTTGAACTATCGTTAGATTAAAGTATTCATTTAGCCTTCAATAATACGTATTACACTGTATTATTATATATTGAAGTAAGTGCTACACGTGTGTCCCCCTTTATAAGTCACACGGATCCGTGAATTGGACTGCGAATGGATATAATCGATCTTATTTCGTAGCAATCGAACAGTCACCTGATCGATCACACTCGCACCGGCAAAAATCAAAATCGACATGCTGCATTTACTTGCTGAAAGACGTTGCATCTCGATAACGATTTTAGCACAAAAATTCGACACGTGGTGTCATCTTCATTCGCGCCCGTAATATATAATAATAATAATATAATAATAATGACAATAATAATAACTCGTTTACAAGTAATTAATGCTACTTAAGCGATTTATCGATTTTATATAGTAATTCTTTAATCTCCATTATTATCGTATTCGTAAGGTTACTATTTTTTGTATAATAATAAGTATCTTCATTTTTAATATTTTCTGTATGTAGGTATTCCACGTTCAATTAAGCTTAAGATTAAGAAATACGTCGTCCGCTTGTCTCCTGATGATTGATAAATGTCGATGAAGATCTCTCGGGGCGTATCGCAATGGTTTAAACATTATCAATCGTCACGATTTCCTTGCGTTCGCCGGTGTGCGCGTATACGTACGTGCGAAAGCGTCGCGACGCTTCAGCGAATTTTTTTTGCCCAGGAGACAGACAATTTTAAGAGGAAGATTTTTAAAAATTGATTTTTAGGTTATAGGGTTCAACGTATGTACGAAGAAACGTTACTAGAGCTTTTGTAAAGGTTGAATACATTTTTTTTTCATGGTTCACATTCCTGCTTGGGATTCAATTAAAATCTTCCTCTGCTTCCACGTGGCTTCTCTAGTAATTCTTTATACCGGATTTCTGTGTGATGCGAAGCGAGGAAATCGCGCGGAGGAACCTTTGACACGTCGTCGCCGAGGAAACGTGCTCCCGTGCCTTTTCCAAAATCAGACTTTTCTTTTACATTTTTTTATTATCGACCAATTGCGTCCTCCTTGATACGGCAATGATGATATCGAGAGAGGGATTATCGATGAAGAAATGATCTACAAATTTAGGTACAGCCAATGTGTTTGTTACGTAGGGATATATCATAATGAAATCACGTATGACCAGGATGACTTTTATTTGTGAAAATTTAAAAAAAATATAGGAACTCAAGATATCGTGCCGAAAGTTGAAAAAGTGTATAATATAGTAAAATAAGTGTAATAAGTGTAACTTTTACGCAGATGAAGACGGTAGTCAGACAGTGAAAGAGGAGAGGGAGTAAAAATAAAGTAAACGAATCGGTCCCGATTGTGGAACGTCGAATGTCTTTTCGTTTCAAGCTGCAAAAATTCGCCTGAGGATATTACGTGTGTTTAATTATGTCCTTTTGAATTTTATTTGGTTTTTTTATCATTCAAAAATATTGGAATGACATTGAAAATTATCAAGCATATACTTTTCTTTTTATATTCGTATCTTTGCGCTCATGCTTGTGACGTAACTTCGTGATATATTTTTTGTCCTTTTTTTGCAGTTCGTTTTGTTATATGTGCCTTTCTCTATTTTTCAAATTGTATATCTACGAGACGCATAAGTCACGTTTAAAGTAACTGGACAAATTACTAAAACAGAGTATTGTATTAAATTCCATAAATCCCTGAAAGCATCGATCCAAGTTTTCATGTGAATTCGTACGTTTCGAAAGATACACAATTTTGAAAATGACAAAGAACCTATAATCCTACACCGTATAACTATACTTAAATCGTATAAGTACAGTCCGTCCATAGAGTGAGTGTCTTATCAAGGGTGCCAACATTTCACAGCTCCGTATATAAAAGAGTAGAGAACTTCTTCGTTTTAGCATAAATCGACTATACCAATACACCAAACGAAACAAAAGTTTATTCGATTGATCCTAACCAAACCCGAGATCACTTTATTTACAGATAAACACCAATTGCCAATGTATTATCGACCCTAGATTACTTTTCGTTACCATATCCTTTTTAACGTAAAGACATTTTTTTAAATATAGCAGCCAGCCGCAGTAAAAAAAGGAGGAATTTACATTTAAAAAACAAGAGATATAAACTTTCTGAATAAATTCAATAGACCCGGGCGGTTCAAGAGACAGATAGGATATGAAACTGCCGCAAGTGTCGATATTGGTGATGATGCTGATGCTGCCGCCTGCACATTCTCATAAAGCAGTGACTCGGGTCCAGGAACAAGATCACGCATCGTGATTCAACCAAGGATAAGGATACGTCAGCCCTTTTGTAGTTAACCGAATATAAATGAAAGATATTTAAAAATCTACCAGACGGACGGTACCTCCCTACCTACCTACTTTACAGACATTGGTCGTAACAGCGTCCAAAGGAATGGCGGAATCGAAAAAAGAAAACGAAAGAGTTTCAAGTAAAAAGTGAAGAAGGTCCTCAAAAAAGGAATAAACCCAGGCGAGCCGTTCGCTTGTCGCGAGATTGAATTCTGCCTGGACGAGCTTTCTCCGCGTTCCGAAAAAGCTCTGCCGAATGTTCTGATTTCAATTTTACCTACGTGGTAGGTTGTAGGTACAGGCCCGTCCGAAAATCCTTCCAGCGTGTCTCCCTCGTATAATCGTTCGTCCGATAATTCGTTCCATCGGTTTCCGCCCGGATACCCGTACAGTTAGCCCAGGTAGAGAAAAGTTGAAAAAAAAAAAAAAATGTAAAATCAAACACAAACGAAAAGTTTGGACCAGGAGTGGAATAATAGACAGAGAAGAGGAGGAACAGAGATAGACAAAGGGATACCTTTTTTTTAATTCCTACCGGAAGTAGCTATATATAGATTGTTGAATGTCTGAACGTGGCCTATCTCGGTCAGAGATAAAATGTCTAGTGTGAACTCAACCTCGTGGCACTACTCGCTGAAGGACTTCAACTTGATGATGGGATTCGATGATCGGGGATGATCCTCACTCGTCAGGATGGACGTATTAGCCACGAAGACTGTGTCCAAGGAGGATGAGAGCCGCTGCGAAGATGCAGATGGTGGCCGAACTCGATGTCAGAGAGTGTCCAGAGTTGCATCCGTCTTCGTTGCAGCAATAGCTCCTCGTGCTCCAGGTCTCTGGAACATTTCGTGAAGGCTCATTCAATTTCCACGGATTACCCGCTTCGTCTGGTGCACAGCGATCGGTCAACGTTTCCTTTTTTTCTTTTTTTTTTTTTTTTTAATGGCTACTTCGTTATTAGATTCGCCTCGCAGGCTTGCTTAAATTTTTTTTTTTTTTTTATTAGTTTCTCTTAGGAAATCTAATTTAATTTTTAACCCCCCCCCCCCCCCCCCCCC